TACAACCGTACATGTTTGAGCCCTTGCCTCGCAACGCTGCCAGTTCTGTTAGCTCTACGCCTGCTGAAGACACAGACGTCCATCCCCGTGAACACTGGGACAGAACTCAATGGGAAAGGAAATGCTTCTTATTTCTTATTTCAACCGTTGCGTATATTAGCTGCGACAAATGAATCAAGATGCTATGACCGGAAAAATTTCATTGACAGATGACTGTTGATATATGATTGGCCAAATTTGGTATACAAGTTGACGTATAATTAACTGGCCTGCATAAGATAATGGAAAAAAAACCCACAGATTTTAAGACAGGAATTTTCTTTTTAAAATAGAAATTTTCTAAATTTTGGGACAATATTGTTTCATAAAGAGTACATTTATATACAAGTTTAAGCCAGAATGATTTGAGATTTAAATATGATTTCCCTAAAACTTAAAAAAAAAACAAGTTTAATGTTATTCTGCAGAACAAGCGGTTCCCTCCTAAACCAGAGGGTGGCAGCAGAGAGTACTGACAGATTCAGCACTGGACTCAAAAATTATCAAAGTATTAAACTGAGTGAAGAGGGTCTCCCACATTAAGGGCCGTCCCAAACCACGTAGTGGATAGTGGATAGGGAGAGTGGACTGTTCAGCCCTTTAATAGCGAGTCTGCATCTGCTGGAATTTGGCAGACGGTGTAAAGGCAAACAAGGGACAGGAATCTTCTTCATCACACTCACAGAAAATAACAAGTTAGGAAAAATAAAAAAGATGTCATTAATCCCTAAATGAAAGCTCCTCTTGGAATTAGTTTTATTTGCCTGGATAGATTTATTTTTAAGCAAATGTAAAATCTTTGATGTTATGTTAACCTGCGTCACAGAGCTACTGTGTTGCCATAGGGACGACTGCTTTCCTTTCTGTTGGAGGGAAGAGGACGTCCCATTCACGTTTATCCCCCCATACAATCCAGGCGCTTTCCAAAGCTGTGATTGGGACTTTATTCCGAGTGATGCTTGATAGTTATCCTGAGCTATCTCTATAGTTATGCTGCTATAGGCTTAGACTGCTGGAGGACATAGTGTCCCCTTTTTCATCATTCTGCTTCACTCTATCTCTATTCTCCCACTCTGCAGAATCTGTTAGTTCAATCTCTAACGTTCTGCTCTCTCTGCTTTTTCTCATAGTAGCTTCATCTGATCTCCTGTTTGGCTGTGACTCCATCCTGGAGAGAAATATCAGTTGTGCTGCTGCCATCAACACCTTTGTTTATAGATGTTGGAGATCAGTCCTGTTTCTCTGACTGTAACTGGCTGGATGTGCTCTCTTCATCCTCTGACATGGGAGTTGGCTTTAGAGCTCGTCTGCCTTGCTGTGTGTTTCCTGGACGGGGCCGCCTTTTACGGTTGCTTTTTGTATCTTTTGAGGAATTTACAAATTCCTAAAACAAAAAAAAAGGAAAAACTGACTTTTGAAGAAAAAAAAAAGAATTAGAAAAATCTACTTTGAGGTGGAAAACAATGGTACAAAAATGAAAAAATAAAATCATTTTAAAAATAACTAAAGTGTTATTTTTTTTCAGTTGTATTTTTTCTTTTTATTCAGTATCTAAAAGTTTCATTTTATGTTGTTTTTTTTTTGATTACACGTCAAAAAACCTTTCTTGCAATAATAATGGATTAAAAGTCTCTCCATACTTGTCCACTTTGTTTGTTGTGTCTCTGAAATGCAATCAGGACTTTCTGCATTGGTTTATATGTAGGAATATAATAGCATACTACACTTTTCACATTTTTAAAAACATTTCCTTTTCTGGTCATTTAATAATTAGTTGTGACTTTTCTTTTTTGTTATATTTTAGCTTAAATAAATCTGTAAAAAAAAAGAAGCATTTGAGCACAGAGTTCGACCTTTTTAGAAGTGAAGGCAGGAGGCCTCACTTGGGAACAGTTCTGTTTTTGATTTCTTTTAAGTATGGATGTATCCAACTGAAAGAAACCATTAGGATTTTTAATTGGAGGCGGATTACACAGAAATAACTGCTAGGGATGTGAGATGTAAACAAGACAAACATTAAATCAAATCTCCACATATCATCCCAGGATACCTGCGTCTGCAGGATAGAAGGAAAAAAGACAAGACGTTGATTCAGATCCATTTAGATTTGTTCAGATCCCACTTTGTAGAAGTAAGTCACCCTGACATTTTAATCTTTCCAAACTGCCCTGATAAATAAAAACCTTAAACCTGAAACAAGGATGACCTTCTTTTCTCCCCTCACTGTAACCCTGAATGCAGAGAAAAGAGCATTAAATCCGTATTTATGCTCTTTGGGCCACTCAGACACCCACCATAAACAGAATGAATCACACCCACATGCACATTTACCAGCATTTCCATCCACATAGAAATGTTCTGCCATACATGTAGATCTCTAAAGGCCGAACCTGGATACAGTAATGAGCTGAAACCAGGTCCTAACCTCAGAGTAACTCCTTCAGAGAGGGAAGGTCAGGCCAAATAGCCCCTAGTTGGGGATGTAAAGCAGCTGGAGAGTCCCACCCACACACCCAGCAGGCCCAGGCTTTTCCCTCGCCGTCTGATCTGGTTCAACTCTTCCTAAAGAGGAACAAAATGTAACAGAGAAGCGGAGTGAATCGATTGTGGATGCTCCAGTTCCCTCCAGTTCCTTCCAGTTCCCTCCCACACCAGCAGAACAGGCCTGCGACAGCGGAGGGAGCTATCCTGTGAAAAGCTACAGCGCATGTCTGCTGTGGAACAGAAGGGTGGGGGAAAAAAGGCAAATGAGCAGAGAAAATGCTGGTGTGTGAGCTGATTTCCTTCTGTAAGCGGCGTCAAAGCTCAGTGAAACCCCCTAAATCTGGCCATGTAGCTCTGACTGTGACCTCTGGGGAGGAAAAGCAGGAGGCCATCAGTGAACACTCACCAGGTCCTCCAAGTAAAAAGGAATGTCACAGAGAAAAAAGGCCCTTAAAGCTGTGAAGGGTTATCACTCGGATCCACTCATACTCTGAGTTCTGTACATCAGAGCCATGAAGAGGATTGAAACATCATTTCTTCACAGCGCAGGTCAGTAAGGCTGAAAAAGAGGAAAACAAGAGGAAAAACCACAGAGAAAAGTGAGAAGTTGGTAACAGGGACACTCTGTGGTAACCAGAAGAGGTGTGGCAGGGCCCCCCCCCCTTGTGGACAAAAATAAAATAACACTTTGATCCTACTCTCCTTTTTTTAAACCTAGATCTATATTCATATGTCTATATGTATATATATATATATATTCCAAAAATACCAACATTTCCAACTAAGCCTGTGGGTGGTATCAGGTGGTTTTTGGATTTGTGCGCACTTCCGACTTGACTTATTTATTGTAAAAGCAGAGACAAAATCATTTCTAAAATTGTCTTAGTTGAAATGAAAAATCTCAATTTAATGTTTGCAGCTCTAAAAAAGTCATTTACAAAAAATGTTGCGTCCACACCAGACATTTACTAGACCATCCACCCAGCACCCCCGGTGTATTCTAAATTGCTCAAATTAATGAGATGTTCTAACAATTAACAACTTAATCTAAAAAATTACTAATGTAAAAAATCCATTAGAATTTTTTTTTGTAAATGTACTTAAATATATTCCAATAACCCAAAGAAAACACTAATTTGATAATAAAGGATTGGTAATCTTTGAAGCAATTTTAATGCATCACAGACTTTAAATTGTAAAATTCTTTCTGCATGGAGTTTGCATGTTCTCCCTGAGCATGCGTGGGTTCTCTAAGGGTACTCCAGCTTCCTCCCACAGTCCAAAAACATGACTGTTAGGTTAATTGACTTGTCTAAATTCACCTTAGGTGTGAGTTTGTGCGTGAATGGTTGTTTGTCCTGTTTGTCTCTGTGTTGCCCTGCGATGGACTGGCGACCTGTCCAGGGTGGACCTCGCCTGTCGCCCATTGACTGCTGGAGATAAGAACCAGCATCCCTCTCGACCCCACTCGGGACAAGCGTGTCAGATAATGGATGGAAGGATGTTCAACTAGTCGTGGATCCCTTTAAGGGGAACTAAAAACTGCTCTGGGTCACATGGAGCACTGATACACTCAAAGCAACTGATATTATTCCCCTAATATAAACATTTAATTGATCTCCAATGAAGTTAATACTTGGATCAGAACTTACTCAGTATTGCTTTAGGATTTCAGCAATACAAATATGTTTATTTATTATTTACTATATATTATTTATTATGTTGTTTTTATGTATTTTTATATGTCTTATTGTACTGCTGCCCCTTGGCCAGGTCTCCCTCGAAAAAGAGATTTTATCTCAAGGGGCTTCCTGGTAAAATAAAGGTAAAATAAAAAATAAAATAATTAAAAATAAGTTAAAACTTTGTTTATCGTTGGCTTAATTTATTCTCTTTGCACCTCGTTTTGATTTTGCTTTGGTTTTAGGTTTTAACCACGATAAGCAATCAAATAATGACCTTTTTTTGTCTCATATCATGATGGTTCCTTCTCTTGCTTTGGTTTGAATTAGTGTTGCACCGATGCCATTTTTTTTACCGACACCCAATACCTGGCTGTGCAGTATTGGCCGATACCGATACCATCTGTTTGAAATTGATGTGTGTGTATATATATATATGAAGAACTGCATACTGCTTGGATGTCAAATAATTCCCAAATAATACAAAGTGAATCCAGTAGAACTTTTTATTGCCTAACTAGAACGGGTCACAATAGTTGAATAAACTTTCTGCTTTCAATATGGTATTTGTTGGTACTCGCCGATACTGATACCCCCATTTTAGTGCTGGATCGGGACCCCGTCCAATACTGGATCGTTATCGGTGCAACATTAGTTTAGATGTTGAATTTGTGAATTAAACCAGTGTTTCCCACTGCTCATAATGGAAAATAATGGAAATGGGACAGAGGCGAACTGAGAGCCAGAAAGCTTACATCTGAACAGTTTACAAAAGAAAAAATCTATTCCACCTGATTCTGTGCTTAACATTGCTTTAATATCGGATAAATCTGATATTCACAAATAAAAGGAATGTTTAGTTTGAACTTGGTCTTTAAAATGTGATAAACAGTCACTGCTGCTTTTTAATGGAAAACTAAAAAGTAGAGCTTTTATTGGAAGAAAAAAATAATAATCCAGAACAAATGGGGTGTAGCAGCAGCAGCAGCGGCGGCGGCTACGTGGACCGTTTCTCCACTCCCTGTTTGATCCCCAGGACCAGATGGACAAACCAGTTGATCTGAACCATCCAGCCTTTCTCCCTGCAGATCTCGATCTGGTCCAGCAGGTGGCGCTGCGCCTCGTCCTCGCTGCGGCCCACGGTCAGCGCCTCGCGGATGTACTCGATGTCCTCCTTGCTGGTCAGCTGCGGCATGCCTGAGTTTTAATTGTTCGGTTTCAGATTGACCAAAACAAACGGCTGCATTGACTGAGAACATTTGCAATCAGAAAAGAAAAAAAAGCGTAGAAGTCGTACCGGTCATCAGCATCATTGAAAACAGGATGATGAGGAGGTTGGTGTGATGCCGAAGAGCGAGGTAAGCTTTCACGCACACGTCCTACAACAAAGCAGAAAAATTAAACAAGGCTTTTCTGTTTCTGCTCCAATCGACATGTTTTACTCAAAGAAGAAGAAAAAATAAACATCCTGCACCTGAAACTTGAGGAAATGGGGGCTGCTCTTCTTCCCCGATGTTCCCATGACATACAGGAAGTCCGGCGTGAGCACGAAGGGAACCCACTCTTTGCTGATTCCCATGAAACTCTTGTAATTCCCCAGGATGTGACCAAAGTCGATGTGGAACAGATTCCCTGCAGAAATGAAGAAGGCTCGTTAGCATCTCCTTTCAGCTGGGGTTACTTTTTCATCTTTTTTTTTCTGAAGATTACCGGATTCTGTGATCATAATGTTGTCATTGTGACGATCGCCGATGCCAAGGACATAGGTGGCCACGCAGTAGCCGCCACAGGAGTACAGGAACCTCTCCACTGCCTGCTGGAACTGCACAGACAAACAGAGAGACCATAAACATCTTTCTGAAAGATTACCGCTTCCTGCTGGTCGATTATTTGGTAGTTTTTGTTTTATTTGTTATTAAATAAAGGCCAGTCATCACTCAGTAGCTCAGTAAAGAATATATATAATATAGAATATATATATATATATATATCTCCGAACGTACGGCTTTAGAATCAACCAGGAGCAGTACCATACAAACATGTGGAACAGGTTAAATCTGATATATTTGACAATTTCATAGCATTTCAAATGCTATGATATTCAAATTTAATGAATTTTAATGCCAATTAATTTAATTAAAAAAAAAAAAATAATTTAATGACTTTTAATGATTTTTAATGACCCGCGGAAACCCTGTTTATAAACAAAGATGACAGTCAGTAAAAATATGTGTAAAAGTTGGAGCGAATGAACATCAATAATGTAAATAATTTAAGAATTTTGTTTGTTCCTTGATCAATATCATCAGATATTCGTCTGTCAGAAAAAAGTTCTTAATAACAGAAAGTTAAAACTTTGCAACAAGTAGAAATCACAAATTTATGATATAAGTGTATTTATGAGTATAACGCTGCCTTCATGCGCTACCGGAAATATAATTGCACATGAGCACTTACTCATGTAGTTTCCAGTGTTGCGGAGACGAGGTAAACATTGACCTTTCAACATGGTGGAGAGCAGAGAAACGATTCTGTGTGGTGAATACTGCATCGCTTGTAGCCTAAATAATGCTGTGACGCATGTTTAAAATAGAAAATACCGCCATTTAAAGTTGTACCGTTTTAAAAATTAGCGTTATCATTTTATTTTATCAAATGCTTGCTAGCAGTAAAACGATGCATTTGATGCATCCTCTTCTTCCTGGAGCAGATGAATTAGGAAGCCAATTATTGTGTTGCTAAAGTAGCAGGTCAGGATAATACAATGTATAAATACTATTCCAAAATATAAAAGTAGGACTTACAAATAGACAAGGTCAATTGGTATTTGTTAATCAGTGTTTGTACTACAGAGTAATAACCTCCTGACTTATATTAATAAACATGTGATCTCACATGTGTTGCACAGAGCTGGCCTCACCGTTATTTCTAAAGCCTCCTGTTTGTTCACAGCTCAAGGAACGCCTTGATTACGCGCCTTCATCACATGCGCTTACCTGATTGGTCCACTGTTAAATCTGGCTCCTAACTCCAGTTTGAAAAATGTCAGTTTCCCAGCAGACAGTGTGACAGAAACAACTGTTGCATATTCCATTGAGTTAAATAGAAACAAGGTCCATCCAAAGGATGTTTAATCCCTCCTGCTGTCAGTCTTTTACGCTACTCTCACGGATCATTAAGGAAAATAGAAAACACCCAAAAAACAAACAAACTGCATTCTGTGTTCCTGTCGAGCTCAAGCCGGAAGCCGGTGACATCACAGATCAAACATTCTTTGTATGTTCTACGATTACTGAAAACATAAAATTAAGTTAAATAAAGATTCCCAAAAAATCAGATAAAACTTAAAAAAATTTCTATAGCGAAACCAACAAAGGAAATTCTGTTCCTGCTTCGGCCTCTATGCGAGATTGTCCTCATCTGACCTGTAAGTCCATTCTGTGTTTGTTTGTGGTGTTTTTTATGTTATTGTAGGACTTAAATTGTTTATAGGTTCTTATGTTTTTTTTCTTTTGTTTATTGACAGCTCTTGCTGTGAGTTAATTTATGTTGGAACCCTTCTTCCTTGGAGGAAAAAAATTGACATTTATTAGGGGAAGCATTTTATTTTTATTTTATTTTATTTTTTTCCTACTTGCTTTGATTCTGTTTTATTTTCCCATATTTTAATCATGTAAAGCACTTTGCATTGTCTTTGTACTGAATTGTGCTATACAAATAAATTTGCCTTGCCTTATGTTTATTTTTTTATGGCTATATATATATATATATAATATTTTTTCTTCATAAATACAAGAACTGGAATTGTTTGTTGTTGGTCTAATTTGTGAAAAAAATTATTGTTCATTTTTTATAAGGGTCTACACAAAAGTATATGTTGCTTTTGTGACTGCTTTAAAAATATATATTTATCCTACTTATCAGGAGGGATACCTGACTGGCACCCCTACAATAGTGAAAAACACCCACTTAAAAAACTAAAATAATTAATCTTGTAAAACCATCACAATATATCCATGAGTCGCCAACAAGGGTTAAATCCAAACTTTATTTACATTAGTGGCTTTCATCTACAAACATCTGTTTTATCTTACCCTATAAATATGAAGATGAATAATAATGATAATTTTCAATCATTTCAGATAAAAACCTAACAGGACTATTTAATGTTAGCATTTCTATATGAAAAAAGCAGAAAACCATACAAGTGTTATCACTGCTGTCATCTGCATTGATGATCGATGACGTGAAAAATGTCTTTGGATCAGAGCTGCATCTAAACAACGTTTATAAAGCAATAGCTTCTGCACATAATAAGCAAATCATAGAAACTTTTATCCTTTGACTTTAACAAGTGTTTTCCTTCCGGATCGCTTTCACTGAATCAGTGGCCAATCAGCATCACCTATGCCTCCAGCTCACTTTGATCAATCAAGTTACAGTGACCCGTTGCATCACAGGTAAAGTAAATGAAAAACTAGCACAGTTAATATGAGAGAATGTTACTCCTAACGCTGCTGCCAGCAGATGGCACCACGTCTATTTACGCCAGCTCATCGTGCAAAGAGCTGTAATTCTATTTAGGCTCAAAAATCTAAACCCCATCTTGGTGTAAATAACCTGACTTTATCAGGATCAAATGGATTCTAGATGTTTTTTGTTGAGGAATATGACATGACTGCACACCTTTAAGCTTTTTTTTTTTACTTGATTTTTGAAATAAAGAGCAAAACGGGTTTTAAAGAAGCAGTCACACGCTGAGTTTGCAGCTGTACCACATGCGTGTGTTTGTGTGTGCGTTGATGTGGCAGGATGAACCCGCAGCCTCGCTTCCTTCCTGTCAGTAACTGAGCTGCTTCCTGCAGCAGGAAATAAGCAACAATTTGAATCCATAAAGCTTCTGAAGGGCAAAGCTGGGATTATAACGGTTTTGTTAGTCATTTTCATAATTGAGTAAAGCTACATTTGAAATATTTATGAAATAGAAATGTTTTTGTAAACTTCGGTTCCTGAGCAGCTTTTAAACATTCATCTAACTTATTTCAAACTATTATTAAAGCGAAGGGAGGAGACAGGATTTCCTCATTTGTACCAATAAATGTGTTTCATTCCATTCTATTTGCTCAGCGCTGCCCCCTGCTGGTCATGTGTGTAAAAGCATACAGTTTTCGGAATCACCTTTTCTTCGCTGACGCACTTGTCCCGCAGCCACTGATGGAGGATTTCGTCTTTAAATGCACCGGTGCTTCCGACGACGCTCTGCTGGATTTTAGCGATGGTGGTGGCGTCCTTCACGATCTCAATCATTCCTACATGGATGAGGAGGTTAGGAAACATGGTGAGAGACGAGCCCGAGAGTCAGGGAACAGGGGAAAAGATGTCGCTCCCTTACAGTTTACTTCTGTTTTTCAATAGTTCCTGTTAAACTTTAATGCATTCAGTTAATCAGAATCAGGAAAAGATGGCCTCAAAAATATTATTTCTTCTCATAAAAAAAAAAATTCAACAAAAATATCTCAAAAGCACTTTGGATTACAAATGAAGTTCTGGATTCTTTAGAAAACAAACGGTCTCTAGTTTTTGCCTCTCTATTAAACTGAAACATAATAAAGTTAATTTTGTTTAAATATACATTGTTCCTTAATTTGAGCAGGTAAGAAGATTTGCAAATGGAAATAGATTATGTATTTCTAAAATTAGAAAAAGAAACACCATTATCCTCTTTGAAGTGTATAATAATAACCTGGTGCCGACCCCACCAACTTCAACAACCTCCGTCCTATCTCCAATTTACCCTTCATTTCCAAAATTCTTGTAAAAACAGTTTCCTCCCAGCTGCAATCTCACCTATCTGCCAACAGCCTGTAGGAAGAATTTCAATCTGGTTTCCGGTCACTCCATAGCACTGAAAGAGCACTCATCAAAATCACCAATGACGTCCTCATGGCATCTGATTCTGGACTACTCACCTTCCTCATCCTCCTCCACCTGAGTGCAGCCTTCGACACCATCTGTCACACCACCCTCCTCAGTAGGCTTACTTCAATTGGCATCACTAGCACTCCGTTAGACTGGTTTATTTCCTATTTTTCTGACCGCACTCAGTTCATTAAACTGAAGACCCTCAAATCCACCCCCTCCCCCGTCACCTCAGGTGTGCCCCAGGGCTCTGTCCTGGGGCCCCTGCTCTTCATCATCTACCTCCTTCCCCTTGGCAATATCTTCCGCAAATTCAACATCCACTTCCATTGCTATGCCGATGACACCCAGCTCTACCTCACCACGCAGCCATCGTCCTCTCTTCCGCCCGCCTCCCTCACAAATTGCATCTGTGAATTAAAAGCCTGGTTCACCAACAACTTCCTTCAATTAAACAGTAGTAAAACCGAGGTTCTCCTCATTGGCACCAAATCAACTCTTTCCAAAACCGACAGTTTCCAAGTTACTATTGATAGCTCCTCCATCTCCCCCTCCCCCCAGGTTAAGAGTCTGGGTGTTGTCATCCTCGATACACACTATCTTTCCAATCCCATATAAATAACTAGGGATGCACGATATTGGGATTTTGGCCGATATCCGATATGCCGATATTTTAAAACTCATGTAGCCGATAACCGATATCGATACCGATGTTAAAGCTGGACAAAAATAAGTAGTCATTGAAAATAGCAGTTTTGTTATCCTTTTCTGACACTTTGAAAAATAACATACTCAAATATATTTTCATATGCTGATATCAAATTGATTTTTCAAAACGCGGTATCGATCTATTTTACTTTCAAAATCTCGTGAAATTTCATCGTTCTGTTAGAAACTCTCGTGATATTTTGCAAATTCTTGTGAGATTTTGTTAGTAAAATAGATCGATACCGTGTCAATATATCAACATATAAAAATATGGCAAAATTTCATGAATTTTCGGGGGATTTCGTAGCATAACGATGACATATAGCAATATTTCATTAGTAAAAGAGATTGATATGGTGTTTTTAAATGGCAATATATCAGCATATGAAGATATTGTGATATTTTAATGTATCAATATTTTTTCCCTCGTCTTTAGAAGTTTTTAGGTCTGTTAAAAAGAAGTTTTTGAGGAAGAAGAAGAAGTAGTATTTATTTATTTTTTTTAGACTTTAGAAACTCAGAAGCTGATCAAATATCGGGTTAAATATCGGTGGGGTGGCCGATGTCCGATATTCAGTTTTAAGGCCGATACCGATAGGGGGCCGATTATATCGTTCATCCCTATAAATAACATTACCCGGTCTGCCTATTTCCACTTAAGAAACATCAACCCCCTCCGTCCCTCCCTTACCCCACACACTACTGCACAGCCTTGTCACCTCCCGACTAGATTACTGCAACTCCCTTCTCTTTGGACTTCCTCAGAAATCACTCCACAAACTACAACTGGTCCAGAACTCAGCTGCTCGTATCATAACAAGAACTCCCTCTATCCACCACGTCACTCCGGTCCTCCGACAGCTCCACTGGATCCCCGTACAGTTCCGCATTCACTATAAAATGATCATGGTGACTTTCAAGGCACTTCACCACCTTGCGCCCCCATATCTGTCAGACCTCCTGCATGTTCCCACCCCCTCCCATGCTCTTAGATCCTCATCTGCTTTGCACCTGTCTGTCCCTTCCGCCCGTCTCACCACCATGGGGAGCAGAGCATTCAGCCGCTCTGCCCCCCGCCTCTGGAACTCTCTACCACCCCAACTTAGAAACACGGACTCAATTCTCCATTTTAAAATGCAACTCAAAACCAGTGACGTGCGGTGAGGTTCATAGCTGGTGAGGCACTGACGTCATCAGAATCAGATTTGCAAATAGATGCATAGATTGACAGCAGTTTACAGGTTATGTTTCACTTCTGCATCCTTACACATACAAACTGTAGCTCACAAAACACACATTTCCTTAAAAAACAAAACAAAATAAATGTTATTACTGTCTTACCTTTACTTATAAATGAATAGAAGTCCTCCTTATCTTCCTTCAGTTTTAAAAGTCTCTCTGTCTCAATGGAGATCACTGCCAGGGAAGAAAGCCTTCCTTGATCCGTCCTGTTCCTGCCTTATGTTTTCAGTCTCTTGAGCACCCCCTGCCATGAGGCAAGAGAACTGCCTGCCTCACCTCGAACTTGTTCTCTGCCGTTTATAATCGCTCATTACACGAAACACGTTACACAAACACAGTTGGTGACAAAAAGCTCTGTACATTATATACATAAGCCAAATTATTAGAAATAAGTTCACATATTACATTTGTTTAAACTATTTTATTGACGCCGTACAGCAACATGCTCTCTCCGCTTTGCAGCCAGCGCAGAGCCAGGGGTTGCGCAATCCAAGGTGAGGCAGAGCTCGCTGCTGCCTCACCGGCATCGCTTCCAAGCATTTGAATGGGAAAATAAGAAAATTCAGCGATTTTGAACAAATAAAAATCGAAATTGGTGAAGCTACATGAAAAATGAATATTTTTTAGTACAAACCACCGGATGAATATAACAATTTAAATTACTTTATGATTATATATTTTCTTTCTTTCCATGATGGCTGGTGAGGCACTGCCTCACCTGCCTCCCCTGACCGCACGTCACTGCTCAAAACCCATCTGTTCAAGATTGCTTATTCTCTTTAAATATCAATTTCACTGTCACAGCCTCTGTAGTTTTTAAATGTTATTTTTATTTTTTCTGACACTGTTTTTATGCTTTTGTACGGTGACCTTGAGTGTCCAGAAAGGCGCCTTTTTAAATAAAATGTATTATTATTATTAATAAAAAATCCTCTTGTTTTAAGGCCAGACATACTTTATTTTTGGCAGATTATCTGATTTTCCTGCTCCAATCAAGGACAAATACACTGATTTTCACATCAGCTGTTGTAGTAAATTAAATGTGTTATAAAGAGGAGCTGTTTGGAGAAGCCAGTCACTAATATAGATGGGGGGGGGGACAATTAATGTTTGAATGCTGCAATACAGAAACATCAATGAGAGCTCTATGGCAAGAATATACTTAGAGGAAGGAAATTATACAGTCAAAATAGAAATATATAAATATTAAGGCAATGAATGCAGAGAACAGACGCACAAAAACACCAGATCCAGCCACTTCCTGTTGCACATTGATTTCTCTCGTAACCTTTTCTTTGAATTGCCACAGTTTCAGTTTTGCAGATATTATTTTATTTTTTGGTCGATTCAAAGCTAACTGACTTTTAACAGACACACTTCTGCAAAAAGGATGCAGACAGGAAAGGTGGCAGCCATTGATCAAAAGGAGTATTCCAAAGGAGGTCTAAAGCTTATTCTCGGTTTGAAGCGAAAAGGTAGAGCAGAAAATCTGATAGATGCTCTAACAGGACATTAAAAGTCTAATTAATTAATTCCTCATTTGATGGAAGCTTTGGCCTCTAAAGCTGCATGACGGGTAGTTTGCTCAATTTAAGGAGATATACTTGAATCTAAACTATGTTCCTGAGCTATGGAGTTCATTTTGATCCATTATTGTTGAAAATAAAGACAAAAAACATGTTTTTTAAATGGAAATCTTGGGACAAAAAAGAAAAAAGACAGACGGATAAAAAAAAAGAGGGTTTTGAGAGTAATTTTGTTTTCAGATTCAGTTTTTTTATTTTATATATATTATATATAAAATAAAAAATATATAATATATATATTATATATATATATTAATATGTTATATATATTAATATATTATATATATTAATATATATATTAATATATATATTATTTTATACATGTATATATATATATATATATATATATATATATATATATATATATATATATATATATATATACACACCATTTATATTTTTCAGACTAAGTTTTACAAATGAGGAATACATTTTCCTCTATTATTTTTCAAAAGCAAAGAATGTTTGAAAATTAAGAAAATTAAAGAAAAATGGGAAATATTAGAAATATTAATAGAAAAAGAGCAAAGTTACACTACAATCGATTTTGATTCAAATGTTTTTCATTTACATTTGCAACAATAATGGAACAAAATTCTCTCCATAATGAACATCTGGTGTAGAACTAGATCAACGTGCAGCAGAGCGTGACGCACCTATCCTGTTCCCGGTGGAGATGCAGCCGTACGGTAGGAGGCACAGGTCCAGAGACTCCGTCTCCCAGATGGACTCCATGATGAGCAGAATCTGAGGATGAGAGGAGACGTCTGCAGGGGATGTGCTGTACCTTTGGCGCTGCTGACCCGTCTGTAGGGCTGCTGACTCACCTGCAGGATGAGCATGTCCTGTCGGAGGTCGTCTCCGTCCTTGAAGAGGATCCCTATGGGGTCTTTGGACAGCGTGGTGGTGTCGGCCCTCTTGAACTGCAGCCACAGCGGCTTCTTCTTAGACGCCATCACTTTGCACTGCTCGATCTGCGCACAGAAGCGGACAGGTTGGTTCCCGGGGGTTGGTTATGAAGCGTCGGGTTCCGGCGTGTTCAGGCCTCACCAGCAGACCTCCGGCTCTCAGGCCCGGATCGTAAGGGACTCGGAAGCCTTCCGGCAGACCAGACGACTGTAGCGTCTCCAGTTTCTGACGCAGCTGAAACACAACTGACAACCACAGCACAACGTCCAGCTTTACAGAATGTTTTATCACCTTTTAGAGCTTTCATCCTTTCCATTAAGAAACACGAACATGTTTGTAACTTAGTTTTAGTTTAAATAATACTTAAGCTTACAGTAATGGGTAAATATTTTGCAAGGAATCAAATCTTTCTTTTAATTTGCGGGTTAAAGAGCACCCTTGATCTGAGGCGTCCCTCACCTTGTGTTGTGACGTCATATTTGTCGGCAGACATGGCCTTCATCTCCCGCGTGACTTTCTGAAGTGCCTCAGTCATTTCCACCTGGAGGGAATCCAGTTTGTTAAAAAACGAGACCTTTCAAATATCTTTTTTCTCTAAAAACAGTTGAACGAAAGCCTCCAGAGTGTGAAAGTTCAGTCTGTAAATGGATTATAAATATAGAAATATAGCAAAAACTAAACCAGTCCAGTTTATTTCACCTCTCACTGAGCGAAGGGTGTGTGAAGCCCAATGAAGGAGATGATTAAAGAGGACTGTATTATGCTTAGTTCGATGAGCTGCCATTACCTGCTTCCTGAAATCCTGAAGCATGTTCTCCCCACAGCCTCTGAGGTAGGCCTCCAGCAGTACAGCGTACCTCTGCTGGTAGTGCATGGACTGGGCGATCTCGCTCCGCAGGAACCAGAACAGAAAGTGGCCGATACGCTTACTCTATGAAGAGGTATAAGAAGTTAAATAAGTTTATCTGAGGACAAATGTCAGTTCTACAACCAGAATACATTTTCAGTTCTCTATAGCTAATAAATGAAACTATAACCAAAGAACATCCTTCCTGATGACTGGTGGCTCATTTAGATGCAACTTTAAAAGCAAACATCTGCTAATATATTCTTTCTATAGAAAAGAGTGTTTCCTTTTCTATTCTTCATCAGAATTTCCTATATTTCTAGTAACACAGAAGCACTGTTTTTATTTTTATCTCACCCTTAAGGCCCTCTTCAGCAGGAAGCGGACCAGAGCACTGTCATGGTAGGGCTCAAACTTGACCGCCTGCAAGAAGAAGACGTGCACACCTATTCACTATTATATATTCAACAATCACCAGAAGAAGCTACATCTAAACAGCTCCTGAATTCAAAAACTTGGTGCCAACAGGGATTAAGATGCAAAAAAATATATATATTGAGGTTTTAGCCAACAAATAAATTGCTATTCCCTAAAAGGCAAATTAAAATGATTGAATTATTAGGTTGAAAAGTTGCTAAACTGCAGAAAGTTCTGTTTGCAGATGACATGTGAGTATTTCATTGTGATAACACTAAATTGTTTTATTAACACAAATGCATAGACACATTTATTTATACATATATATAGCAAAAAACTTTCTATAGAATTGCAAACAGTCCATGAACACTCATTATAGTGCAACTCGAACTAAATATACTAAATGAATTAATAACAATACATATAAAGTCTTATAATGGACATAATGTGTGGACATAATATCCAACAGTATTATTTTGATTTTGCACTACTGAATAGGAAGTAGATAAAGCTAATATCCATCTAGACCTCCAGTTTTCCTAAATTTAAGGCTAATATAAAGGTTTCCCACAGTGTAGACTGACAGGAAGAGATGGAAAGTTTAGAGAACAACCATTAGAGGGTCTGTGTTAAAACTAATCCGGAGACTGAGTGAGTTATGGAACTTTATAAAGCAACGCCAGAATATTTATGTTATTTAAAGCAGATTGAGATTAGAGGGTTTAGTGAGATTGAGCAACACTTGAGTCGTAGCAAATGAAGGAAGTGAAAACACTGAGGCTGTTGTGCTCACCGTAGGAAAGAAAAAAACAAAACTAATGGTTTAAAAGGTCAAATATTAGGGGAGGGGGGAGGGCATAGGAAAGAATCTGACAGCATTCAACATTAGATCAGATAGAATTATGCAAATACTACCTACTGAGTCAGTCTAACACCTGAATCTAACAGCCTGTCCTTTGGATAGTCTTAATAGTTTAATAGAAATGTCTCTAGGTATTTCATTATTTCAAATGTAAATCATGCAGAGATGAAAAGCGTGCGGAGAGGTCCGATTTTCCTATCTTAACAAAGGACACTGTGTCTCCCTCAGATGATTATTCTGGCTCATGCAAATCTGACCACAGAGTTAACTTTAGAAAACATTTTAGAAGAAAGCAACAAGCATCCGTTTCCACACATTTGGAATTCTAAAAAAAAGTGTGTAAGTTTATATAATACTTTACTTGTTTGATGTTTACAGAAAAAGCTACAAGCGGATTACAATTGATGCCTCCTACAAAAAAGTTCTTTATTGTTAATAGTTATGGTTTAATTTTGGCATCACGTTATGCTAACCTACTGTAGCTGCACAGATTAAGATTCCCTCACCTCAGTATGCTGGACGCTCGAAAAAGAGTCAATGAATTTGGCCAACAACTCCCTAAATGCTTTGATAACCTGTAGGTTTGTGCATGTAAATGTCTATTAAATGAATTGAAAATGGGGACGAGCGCGTAGTATGGCCTTACATAAACATATCTCCAGAATGATTGACAATTAGGAGGACCACTTATTTAGATGATCCACCTGGAAAAAGAACATCCTCCACTATACCTTTGAGAAACACCACATGACGATTGAAAAAAATAAATGTAAAAAAATTGTACGAAAGAGCAGCTCTCGAGATAAAACTAGAGTTCAGAGTAAACAGACATGGCAGACGAAGCAGAGGCCATGCTGATTGTGTGTCGGGTTGGAATAGTAAGAAAAGTTGTATAATTCAGACTCTAGTTGTATAATTTAGACTCTAAATTATACAACGAAAGAAAACTCTAAATTTTAGAGTTTTCTTTCGTTGTCTCTAAGGAAGACAATGCATCATGTTAAATTGTTCAGATTTTGGATCGGAGCCGTCTCCACATTCCTCCAAACAGACTGGATCACTGGGAACACACCATACACGGCCCTTCCACTGATTGGGGCTTATCTTGTCGTGGAAAGCTTCCTTTAAAGTCTTAGGGAAATCATATGTAAATGTCAAATCATTCTGGCTTAAACATGTATTTAATGTACTCTTCATTAGACGATGTTGTTCCAAAATGTATAAAATTTCTTTTTTTTTTAAATGTTCGTGTCTAAAATTCTGTAATTTTTTTTTTTTGTTATCTTCTGCAGGCCAGTTAGTTATACATCAGCTTGTACACCTAAATTTGGTCAATCATATATCAACAGTCATCTGTCAATCCAATTTTTTTGGTCATAGCATCTTGACTCAACTGTCACTGCTAATATACGCAAAGGCCCAGTGTTCACGGGGATGGACGTCTGTGTCTTCAGCAGGCGTAGAGCTAACAGAACTGGCAGCGTTGCGAGGCAAGGGCTCAAACATGGACGGCTGTAAGCCTTCTACACCAAACCAAGCTTCTGCCGCCCTAGAGTTAGAAATAAAAAATATCTGACGGAGGAGACTCATCCACGACCTCCGACACTAAACTCTCCTCCTCTTCCATGTTTCCACCGTCCATAGCGTTCCTTGACAGTGTTGTTTCTAAGTCACCAATTTAGTGCTACTTGGTACCAATGGAATTTCCCATTGGAAACCTACTAGAACTAAGTTGCTAACTAGTTAGCAAGATGCTTCCGACATATTGGCTACAATCAAACTTGCTTGCAAACCTTCTGCCACCACAATACCGCCCGCTTGATAAACGACCAATCACATTTACTTTATTCACTCGTGTAAAGTCGAGCACCACTCGGGAGAATTCTGGAGAAACGGTTGGAACGGCCGTTTCCCTACGACTTTAAAGAAACACAGCCTGCCCTAAGATTGCAGAACGCTGCGAGGTTCACACCTTTGATCTCGATCCTCGAATTACAACATAATCAGAGTCAAGTGCCAGAAATTCCTTAAAATTCGGAGGCAAGACGTTAAACTCTGTGACAGTGACATATTTAAGTGTTCCTGGCAGTTCAGAGATCAACATAGAACTGATGAAGACGATAAAATAAAATATGACCCACCTGGACCAGCTGGAGAAGATATCTGAGGACGTCATCGTCCTCCAGCGTCTCCAGCTTGCGGACCGCCATAGAACGAACCTGGGCGTCAGAGTAGTGGCAGTCTAGCAACTGCATTGCCAAACCTACGTCCAGACCACTGAGGAGCAACAGTACACCAGCAGTTCTCACAGGGGCCATTGTAATAATGGTGTAATAACAGTGAGGCGCCAGTTTACCTGGTGTCCCATGCATGGCTGCGGTCCAACAGGCGGTGAGTTGCAAGGACATCTTCCTGTTTCCCCCATTTGACCGACCCCAGCAGTTTCGGATAAGCTCTAAAAAGAATAATTATTAAATAAGAAAAAAAAAGGTAGAAAATATTTTGGTGGATCTAAAATAGGCACCTGGGATCACGCATGCACTCATGCCTGAAATGCCACAGCAGCTCTTTGTCCTCTGGACTCAGCGGATGTAAGGGATCCGTAGAAACGATGGCTTCAAACTGCTTTTTCAGGTGGTTCGGCATCTCTCGCTGACCTCTGTCGCCTGCGTCGCCCTCCTCGCCGCCGCAGTCCCTGCCCACGTCCCTGCTCTTGGGCAGCACCACCGGGTAGCAATACTTGTCCAATAAAATGGCGATGGCCATGGAGGACGCCTTGTCCGGATTGGTGGCGGAGGTCAGCTTGTCGGCGTTGATGCTGCTGCTGCTCTCCTCGCTCTTTTCGGGCATTTTCCACATGTGGAGGATGAACTCGCCTTGGCGGAGGAGGGAGCGGTGGTCGATCAGGAGGAGGTTGACGTAGTACAGCAGGCGGTTCTTGGTCTTTGCTAAAAGACGGACAAATAATGAAGCCTCCCACAATTCCTTTGGGAATTACAGGGAATTCTAACTGGGCTTTACCTTCCAGGGTTCCGGTTCCCGCTGTGTTCTCATGGTAGGAGCCTTTGGAGCTGGGCGGTACCGTTTGCTTCCCACAGATCACCTGGATTCATTTGAAGGGTTTAATTAAACACTTCCAGTTTGTAAACCGAAGCAAACATTCTTCACCCAGACCTAGTTGGCTTTCACTACACCATATTGGTGTCTTTAATAATGTATTTTTTAAAAATATACTACTGGTTAAAAAACAGTAACCAAGGCAGGCTGGATTTACCTGCAGGTTGAGGCGGGCCCCTTTAGGCAGGTCCTTGATCTTGATGTTAAACTCCAACCAGCAATTCCAAAGCACTTCTTCATTAAACGTTTTGGAAGTCGTTCTTTCCTAAAAGATTTTTGACTAATGTGATTAATGGGAACAAAGTCGCTGCTCATAATATGGAAACAAAACCCCATTTCAGGAAATCGGATAAAATGACTCTAACACCTTATATCCAGGATTCAAATGACGTTCACTGGAAAAAGAGCTCAGCGTTTCCCCTAAAATCTTATCTCACAGCAATAAGCCTCTGGGTTTATTGTCCTGACGCCGCATCGCAGATAAATGAGTGGATCATGCAAATAGAGACCTGCAGCTGATTTACATTTATGGTGTTTTGGGTTCCAGTGAAACTGGAGCAGGAAATGTTGCGTCTAATTTCTGTCCCAGTCAGGGATGGTTTACAATGTTGAAATATGAATGGCAGAAAAAAATGACGTGAATAAAAATGTGTAAACATTTCCTACACTTACAGCATATTTTCCCTTAACATGAGCTTTTAAATAAGCTAACTGCAAATTAAATTACCATTTTTGTCTTTAAAGTATAATAATAGGAAGAGGGTATATTTTAAACAAAGTTTTTTTTTTTATTCAAATGGTAAATTGTCTTATTTACCTACTCAAAGCAAGAGAAAATACATATTTCAAGAAAAAAAAAAAGGTATTTTCTTTGACAGGCTATTTCTGACTTTTTTCTCAAAATTCTGACGTTAATCTCAGAATTCTGATTTTTTTTTTTCTCAAAATTCCGACTTTTTCTCAAAATTCTGACTTCAATCTAAGCATTCTGATTTTTTTCTCAAAGTTCTGATTTGAGGATTAGGGCCACTTTTTATTTTTATTTTTTTTACTTAGTTTAATATGGGGAAAAAGTTAGAATTTTGATCAAAACTTTAGAATTCGGAGATTAAAATCATAGTCATGAGATTAAAGTCAGAATTTTTACTTTTTTCCCATATCACACTTAAATAAAATAATCAGTTCATTTTTTTTTTTTCCTGGTGACCCTAATCCTCTTCCGTACGAACACCATGACACGAATAGAAAAAGAACCAGAACACTGTGGTTAGCATTAGCACTTAGCTTAGCATCTACCAGTTTTCCACATCTATAAATTGAATGCACATAGCTGCCAACACCATGTTTCCCCATGGGGAATCTAGCGTTTAGGATTTTCTGCATCATTTAAACCTGTATTTCAAAATTTCTAGAATCGTGCAGCTGAAGGTTCTAAAATTCTTTTTTAAAGGACTTCAAATCCTGCATTTGTCAATTGAAAATGAGGCAGAAGAGAAAGCCTTTTCCATTAGTTATTATGGGCATCTTTTCTGACTAAATGAGCAGAGACATATTTAAAGAAGGTCCAAAAAGGAACTCCTCTTAAACAAAAGACAATGTTGTAGAGTGGAAAAAGAATGAAAAACATTATGAAAAGCTGTGGTCATCTTCTTCATCAGAATGTGAAACAACAATAGAGTGTCTTTAGTCAAAAAAAATCTCCAGATCCAGATCCTTCCTGTCTACAGCTATCAACATCTTCAACGACTTTTAAAAAACAACCAAAAAATAAGAATTACTTTGTACGGAAGAGGATTAGGGCCACTGAAAAAATAAAAAACATTAACCAATTTTAAAATTTTATTTCAGTTTAATATGGGAAAAAAGTCATAATTCTGAGATTAATTTCAGAATTCTGAGAAATAAGTCCGAATTGTGAGATTAAAGTCAAAATTCTGAGAAAGAAATAAATCAGAATTCTGAGGGAAAAAAAGTCAGAATTCTGAGAAAAAAGTAGGAATTCTGAGATAAAAGTCGGAATTCTGAGAAAAAAGTCCGAACTGTGAGATTAAAGTCAGAATTTTTATTTTTAACTTGCTTTTGGGATTAATAAACTATTTTAATATTTTTTTTTCTCTCATTTTGCATTCGCATTTATAACCTGTGCTAGAAGTTGCTGCCCATGGAAGATGCTGGCCTCGATGAAGACGGTGAAGTCTGGAACTTTAGGTAGCGTCGGGATGTCGATTCCAAGCACTTTGACTCTGAACTTCCTGTTACAGTCCCACATGGAGATGGTGAAAACTCGCTCATGGTCTTTCTCGGCAATGGTCAACTGTTCATGGGTACCTATGGAGATTTCTTTAGGTCAAAAGCTGCTCATATCCGAGTAGAAATAAACAGACTTTGAATCGAGGACCTGTGACTCCCGTGCAATCGTCCACTTGAGCCCAGTCCTCCCTCTGGACCAGATCCAGCTCGGGATCCGGTGGAGTCTCCAACACCAGGTGGATCTCCTCTCCGCTCTTGAGGGATTGACGGATCCAGTTAAAGCTTTGCAGAGCTTTCTCTCCATACAGATACTCCTCTCTGTGTGTGAGAAAACAACAGAAAAAAGGAAACAATTGTTACCTGATTCACAATGAACACACTTGGTGGATGGGGGGGGGGTCCAGACACCTGCCACAAACACGCAGAACAAAGTCCTCCTCGCTCACGTCTTCAGGGATTCCCAACAAAACCCTTTTGTTGGCTGTTTTTGCAAAGAAGCTCGCTAATACCTAAACAGGAGGACAAAAAAAAAAAGAAAATGAAAATAAACTACAGGAAATGTGAACCATACAGGAAGTGCTGCACATTTCATGCACTATATTTATCTACCTGTGAAGGTGTATCATCAATGGAGACTTTGATGGTTTGGCTGGAAGTGCTGACATGGATCACAACCAGGATGAAACCGTTATTAACCTGAATAGAGAATATACGAGGAAAAAAGGGGCACAGAAAATATAAAAAGATTACTGAAAGACATATAAACAAATTTATTAAAATCAGATGTAAGATCTTATTCCTGAAATACCCTAAAATGATAATTTTTTCCATGAACACACCCCATCCCAAAGTGATGGTGAAATGGAGTGAAAAAAAAAAATTATGAAGTATAAAAATTATAAAAATTAGAATCTTCCATTGAATAAAAAAATTTTACAATAAAATAAGATAAAATAAAATAAAATAAGAAGCTTTTAGAACATCAACAATGTACCATTAATTTTAAAATGCACAATAAGTATATTTCCCAGCATCGAATTAAAAATACATTTAAAATAATGAAAAAATTAAATGTGCCATTAAATAATAAAAAATACATTTAAAATGATTAATTTAAATAAATGTCCAATTTAATACATTTAAAATTGTGATTTAAATGGTTAAAAGCATTAAATTGATTTTAATAATAACATGTCCCTGTAAATGATCAGGAATACATTTAAAATTAACAATGAAGTAATTAATATCTAAATAAATAATCAAAAATACATTTAAAATGATAAATTCAATTATTAAAATGTTCCATTATATTTAATATATGGACTAAATGTTCATTTTATATTCCAATTACCAGGAGGTTATTAAAATACATTTAAACAATGAAAAAAAACTAAAATTTCCCATTAAATAATTAAAAATATGTTTAAAATTCTGACTTTAAAAGTCCAGTTAAACAATTAAAATATACTGAAAATGATCAAATTAAATGTCCCACTGATTAATTAAAAATACATTTAAAATATTGAATTTAATCATTAAAATGTTCCCATTTAAAATTGTGACTATTTTGGTAAAATTTCCCAAAATATAATTAGAAATACATTTAAAATGGTGAATGTATAGATGTGCATGAGTAAATTTCTTATTAAATAATTACAAACACATTTAAATTTATAGTATAAATGCCATTAAATAAAAGAATAAACAATTTAATAAAAACTGACTCTATATGTTTATTTTTAGGGTCATGGGCTGAAATGATTGGTAACCCCCTGGTGTGAAAAGCACTAATGATGTGTGCAGAAAATGGCTCCCAACACGTTACAAACTATTTCTGAACAGCAGCTCTGGAAGCTCCAGGCTGCCCACACAACAGAGGAAATTAGATTGAGTCGTGCTGCTGCACTGCTTCAGAGGCGTCAGCACTAACTGAAGGCCTCCTTCAGAGTGGGCACTGCTTAGAGGAAGGAGGTGGATGGTCGAAAAAGAAATGTAATAAAAAGCCTAAACTCTTCTCCCGTCATCTTGGTGAAAAAGAAGATGATGAAGATCTAAACAGGTAAACACACCTTGGAGAGAAGGTGTTCAGGCAGCGGCTTCCTGGTTACCCAGGGGTCCATTGAGTAAAGTCTGGGGTCCCGGTCCAACAGCTCGATGCGCCGCGGTGTCAGCAGCTTCCTGCGAGTAAACTCCAGCTCGTCGTCGTGGACGTTGCTGACGTCGGTTACGTCGTAGCCAATCAGGTAGTTCAGGTAACGCTGGTACTGCTGGGACTCATCTGATGGCTGCGGGCGAAGCGCCAGTGTGATCCGACCCACATCTTTCTTCAGAGCTGGCGAAACACATTACCAACAGGGACGGTTCAGTAGGAATAAGCTACGTATTCTAAGCTAACCATCAGTAGTGGTCAGGATCAGACTAAATCTAATACTAACTAGAATTGCAAGCAATTAAATACGGGTTCCAAGCAATTCATATCCAGGCCACGCCCCCCGGTTCTAATCGCCCCATATGTGCATTTTGGCCATGGGCGGTATTGAAGCATGGTACAAAATATCAATAAAACCAACAAATCATCGAGAAATAAACCAAAACCTTCTAATTTGACTACGGTATATTCCGAGTTCTTATATAAAGATTTTCTTCAAGGAAAGAATTCCCTCCAAATTCTCGATTTATAAAAAAAAAAATTTGAAACGTAACAATTACCATATATGGCATACATTATTAATTTCTGTGAATATATTTTCCAAAAATACATTCATAGTAAAAAAAAATTTTTTGTTTTACTGCGCTGGAAAATCAAATTTGGTTTTTGCATAATTAATGAAATCAATTGGAGTAAAACAAAATAGGTTCAACATATATCGCATAATAGGTAACAATTAGCATAACCGCGCAATTGATTGAACAGAGAAATTGTGTAATTAGAAAAGTATTGCAGAAAAATACCCCAAAACAAACCTTTTGTCTAAACAGTGCCACCTGGTGGTCAAATAAAAAATCTTTCCTAAAATCTCTAGAGGACTGCCCCCATTTAATTCATGTTAATGCTAAGAATATCTCCAACGTAAGACGTTTTGACCATATATCCAAAGTCAATCGACTTTGTAGATATAAACTTTTTGTGATTATAGCGCCCCCTATACATGAAACTACTTGGAACCCAAATAAGGAGCAATGGACCCTTAAGAAAGCTACTTGCTTGTTAAACTTAAGTCACCTAGCTAAAACTAGCCTTTAAACACACACACAAAAAAAAACACAATTATAAAGCAGCTTTTTTCAGTAGGTTTTGTCTACATGTGATATTTTTATTTTTTTGAAATTGTATTGTTCAATCTACAAGCCAAATAGAAAGAGTCATATCAAAAGAAAGATCCAACATGCTAATATTAGGCTAACCTTTAGGCGGGTTTTTAGTGCATATTGTCTTTACTGACAACTGAGGGTGAATGTTTGAATATGTTTACAAATATCCAAAGTTCCTGTCGGGACAATATATTGAAAGTTTGAACAACTAATCCACCAACATTAATGATTTTAAATAACTGAGAACAGATGTTGCCAACATCCCTAGCTAAAACCGGTGTACCTCAAGGCTGTGTGCTAAGCCACCTCGTGTTCTCATTATACACACATAGCCCTACAGAGAACTAACAGAATCAGTTTTCCCTGTACAGTCATGGCCAAAAGTTTTGAGAATGATTCAAATGTTAATATTTACAAAGTCTACTGCTTCAGTTTTTATAACGGCAATTTGCATATACTCCAGAATGTTATAAAGAGTGATCAGCGTAACAGCAATTAATTGCAAAGTCAATATTTGCCTAGAAAATGAACTTCATCCTCCAAAACACATTTCAACGTCATTGCAGCCCCGCCTTAACAGGACCAGCTAACATTGTTTCAGTGATTGATCCATTAACACAGGTGTGGGTGGTGAAGAGGACAGGGCTGGATATCATATCTGTCATGTGAAAGTAAGAATGACACCACTGGACACTTTAAAAAGAGGCTGGTGCTTGGCATCATTGTTTCTCTTCTGTGAACAATGGTTATCTCTAAAGAAACACGTGCAGTCATCATTGCATTGCACAAAAGTGGCCTCACAGGAAAGAGAATCGTAGCTAGAAAGATTGTACCTCAGTCAACAATCTATCGCATCATCAAGAACTTCAAGGAGAGAGGTCTCTTTGTTGCCAAAAAGGCTCCAGGGAGCCCAAGAAAGACCAGCAAGTGCCAGGACTGTCTCTTGAAAGTGTTTCAGCTGGTGGATCGGGCGACCAGCAGTGCAGAGCTTGCTCAGGAATGGCAGCAGGCAGGTGTGAGTGCATCTGCATGGACTGTGAGGTGGAGACTCCAGGAAAACATCAGGGATAGACTGATATTCTGCAAAAGGTACAGGAAATGGTCTGCTGAGGACTGGGGTAAAGTAATTTTCTCAGATGAATCCACTTTCTGATTGTTTGGGACATCTGGAAAACAGCTTGTTCGGAGATGACGAGGTGAGTGCTACCACCAGTCTTGTCTCATGCCAACTGTAAAGCATCCTGAAACCATTCATGTGAAGGGTTGCTTCTCAGCCAAGGGAGTCGGCTCTCTCACAGTCTTACCTAAAAACACAGCCATGAATAAAGAATGGTACCAGAATGTCCTCCGAGAGCAACTTCTCCCAACCGTCAAAGAGCAGTTTGGTGATGAACAATGCCTTTTCCAGCATGATTTAGCACCTTGCCATAAAGCAAAGGTGATATCTAACTGGCTGAGAGAACAAAACATAGAGATTTTGGGTCCATGGCCTGGAAACTCCCCTGATCTTAATTCCATTGAAAACTTGTGGCCAATCATCAAGAGATGGGTGGACAAACGAAAACCTAGGAATTCTGACAAAATGCAAGCATTGATTGTGCAAGAATGGACTACTATCAGTCAGAATTTGGTCAGGATGCCAGGTAGAATTGCAGAGGTCTTAAAGAAGAGGGGTCAACACTGCAAATATTGACTTGCTGCATTAACTCATTCTGTCATTAAAAACTTTTGTTACTCGTAATATGATTGCAATTGTATTTCTGTATGTGATGACAACATATGACATACACACATGAAAACCAGAGGGCAGCAGATCATGTGAAAATATAATATTTGTGTCATTCTCAATACTTTTGGCCATGACTGTATATTGATCTTACTGACACAAAGATGGATGACAGATTTCAGAGTACTATGGAGTGTCCAAAGATGCTAATTTATGTGACGAAAGGCATGCTAACCTCCATGGTGACCTGCTTTAGCTAAATAAGGAGAATTTCTAATCTGAATTAAACCATTTTGAATCAGAAATGAGTAACTTTATTTCAATAAAAGTTTTTCCAGATCCCTCTGGGGGCAAACAAAGTGTTTCTGCTGACATTCCGCACTTCCTCTCATTTCCTGTAACCTAAATGCAGCACTCTGCAACACTTTGTCTGGAGCTGACCAGGAACAATGTCGTTTTAACAAAAACTGCTTCACAGCAGTTCCCTATAGAAATGATAGCACGCATTAGCCACATTAGACATCATATTTATTTCTGACTTTTATGACAGTGCGGAAGTAACTTAGCTCTGTTTTAAACGTCTTATGGAAGCTAGCCTAAAATCTGAGAGGATAGATTCTGTTGGGCCGACAAGAAAATAAAGAAAAAATTTACTGTTTGGTGCAATACATCTTACCGAGCACCAAATATGTTTTTTATCGTTGTTTTATATCAAACTAGCTTTTCTTTTATTCTGTTTAAAAGGTATGATACAATGATAATTTGTCTGTTTCTCTAACACGGCTTCGGCCTGCAGCTGGTAAGATATTGGCTACTTAAAAACACTCCATACAATCGAAACATGTTTTAGTATTTTTCATCAATCAGTCATGATAAAAGTAGTTGTGGATTTAAGGGTAAGCATTACCTCTCCAGTAGCGAATGCAGTCCAGTGTTTGGAAGACCTGATGCTTGTCGTAGATCTCACAAACGGTGCCTTTCTTCTGATAGAGGAGGATGCAGTGGTCAGGAGAGAAGCGCTGGTAGAAGTCAGGACAGAGGTTTAAAGACACCGCTTTCATCCAAACTTGAGCTTTAACCTGGAAGACAGAAGCAGGCCAGAAACGGTCCAGGTTAAAAACAAGCCTCCGAGCGTCTCGTTTCCTAAACCACCGAGCATCCCCACCTGCTCCACGGTCCAGTTTCCGGCCACTTCCAAGAGCAGCAAGTCTGGGCTGCTCCCGCCCCGCGCCACCGTGGGCAGCACAAACTCCACGCTGATCTGATCCATAGAGGCAGAGGAGGAAGAGGTGATGGCTTTCTTTCTCCTCCTCCTGTTGCGGCTTTCGTCCCGGGCCACTTGGCGCTCTTCGTCGCTCACCTGGATCTGCTGCCTGTCCATTGCCTAGCTTGGACACAACAACACCCAATGAATCATTAACTGCAATCATGCAAACACCTTGTTGCCATGGAGAGCAAGGATCGGACCACCTCATCTGGAGTGAGCAACAACAGGCATTCCTGTGATTTTAAAGCTCTACTGGAGGATTTTACACAATAGTTTTTTTCACTTTTAAATCTGGCATTTATTGCAGGAATTTTCTTTGCCTTAGATTCCAAAAATCTCAAAATCCAGATTTAAAATCTTGTTCAGTCTACAGCACGGACGAGTTAATTTTTTTCCTTTTAGATTCCTGCAAAACTTATTCAGACAGTTTGCCCTATAATTTAGATTTAAAGCGATCCCTGTAACTCTAATGAACTAAAAATCAACTCTGTGGATCAATATTTTACGTTTACGGTATTATTTGGCCTGGTAGGTTTATTATATAGAGTAAAGTTTGAACCATTAATTTTGCAAGTGAATAAGATGTTTAGTTAACAGATAATTTTTGGGGGGGAGCAATCCAGAAATTAAACTTGGAAAAACTTCTATTAAAAAACACATTTTGGGTGTAACTTTGATTTTTTTTTCATGTTTTATTTTTTCCTCAAGTTATTTTCATTTTCAAAAATTAGTTGTTTTTTTTACAGATTTTATAGCATCCAAGTTTACATTTTCAAATTTCTTTTTTTAAATCCAGTTTTACTAATTGCATTTTTCTCTTTTTTTTTTTTTTTTTGTTGCATATGAAATTCTCCAATAGATTAATAGAAATACGTCTTTTCTCCTCTCTCCAGAGGAAAACCTTCCCCTAGAAAGGGAAGAGAATGTGAAGAGAAAAAAAAATCTAGGAAAAACCGCAAATTTACCTTCAAACCCTTTTTTAATTATGAAATATAATTTCTGGATTACATTTATTTCTAACTTTACACTTAAAAAACTTTTTTTTTTTTTTATTCTACTATATTGGAGCAAAATTCACTCCATATAAATGATGTAATACTTTTTGAAAAACCTTAAAGTCCAAATCAAGGCACAAGTCATCAGAGCTAAAACCAAAGTTAAGTGAAAAATCTATTCTGAAATAACCAGAAAATCATTATGAGTCGAAGATCAAGGATCTCTGAAACACCCGACACACCCGATTTTGACCTAAACCCATTTTTCCTTTTAGAATCAACGCTGTCAGTTGACGCACAACATTTTGATCTTATCTTGATAAACACGAATCAGCAGCAGTTTCACATCACCACTCCCAAAATTAAAGGAAACTAGGCTGATTAAATGAGGGGCCAATCAGTGCACATACAGAAATGAAAAACAAAGAAACCATCTTAATAGAAAACCTTTAAGATTATAAAAATATACTTTAGCAAGATTTCCGATTAAAATAAAAAGAGATCATATCTCTCCTATTCTAGCTTCTCTTCTGGCTTCCTGTTAAATCCAGAATAGGATTTAAAATCCTCCTTCTCACATATAAATAGCGGTCCGGGATATGCTGGTCCATTTGCATGTTTTCTAAACAAATACAAGGGCTTGTTGGGCTACTGTATAAAACCTCGAACTCAACGCTATTCCAGACATTTGGAATTGAAAAAGCTTCCTGGATGGGAAGCACAACGTCTTCACACTTGGAAACAAAGTCCATTGGATTGTTTTTCAAACTTTTTGGAGCGGTGTGGGAAAAAAACGATATGGAAATATATTGTGATATTTGGCTGCCCAATAAATATCAACCTTACAGTTCCTAATATGGATTTTCAAAAAAAAGAAAAAAACTTTCTACCTAAAAAAATGAGGGAAAATGGGGTTTCCCAACATTTCTGTAGTTGAGGCAGTAACCCCCAGATTCCACATACTCCGTCAGCGCTCCGCTCCGCCCCGCTGACGTACGTCGTGCGGAGCGCTTGTCTTTCATGGAAATCAATGAGAGCTGTTCCACATCCACCGCTACTCCTCCGCACGTCTCCGTCCACGTACGTCTTCTCCGTCCGTCACCGACAAATTACGGAGCCGAGCTATTTTTTGCTCCGCTCCGGTCCGGCCAGGTCAAGATCCGCAATTGCAATCGCACCAAACAGGAAAAGGAACTTCGACAAATTCCGGTTCGTCAAATTAAAATATAGTAGCAACAGATTGGTGACTAGAAATTATAGCACAATTCACAAAAATGAAAAAAAAAAAACTAACACCGTTTATTTAAATGATTGGATCCAAACTATTTATATAAAATATATATTAAATATTTATTTTATACCGAGGGACTTAAACTTTAATCAAATCCATTCAAAAGAAACTTCTTATTACAGGAATGAAAAGAGATGCTTGTTGTAGAGAACAAGTTAATAAAAAAAAAAAGCAGTTTTGAATTATCCTTATCTCTGTTACAAAAATCTACAAATATATATATATATATTTGGGCAGAAACTGAACATATGCTGGATGATGGTGGGATTTTTTTAATATGCCATATTAAATTAAGCGCTCACAGGGTTCATACAGGAATGAGTGACTCTAATTTAATGCTATTTTAATGCTATTAGAAATGATTGTAATGCCATCAACAAGAACCATGTACACAAGTTATTAGTGTACATGAAATATGAAGGAGCTGTAAGCACAGTTCTATGAGGTGCCCCCAGGGACATAAATCAGAATTAACTTGCATATACACATATTAAATTACACTCTTCCATATAATATACTGAAAACCTCACACAAACACTAGTAAAAAGCTCTCACATAAACTAGTGAAAACATTTACCTCTTATATAATCTACTCAAAAGCTCTCATACAAAGTAGTGAGAACTGTTCATATAAACTGGTGAAAAGCTTTACCTTTCATACACACTACTAGAAAGCTTTCATATACACTATTAAAAAGCTCTCATATACACTACTAGAACGCTCTCATATACACTATTAGAACGCTCTCATATACACTATTAGAACGCTCTCATATACACTATTAGAACGCTCTCATATACACTATTAGAAAGCTCTCATATACACTATTAGAACGCTCTCATATACACTATTAGAACGCTCTCATATACACTATTAGAAAGCTCTCATATACACTATTAGAACGCTCTCATATACACTATTAGAACGCTCTCATATACACTATTAGAACGCTCTCATATACACTACTAGAAAGCTCTCATATACACTATTAGAACGCTCTCATATACACTATTAGAACGCTCTCATATACACTATTAGAACGCTCTCATATACACTATTAGAATGCTCTCATATACACTACTAGAAAGCTCTCATATAGCCTACACTATTAGAACGCTCTCATATACACTATTAGAAAGCTCTCATATACACTATTAGAACGCTCTCATATACACTATTAGAACGCTCTCATATACACTACTAGAAAGCTTTCATATACACTATTAGAACGCTCTCATATACACTATTAGAACGCTCTCATATACACTATTAGAAAGCTCTCATATACACTATTCGAACGCTCTCATATACACTACTAGAAAGCTCTCATATACACTATTAGAACGCTCTCATATACACTATTAGAACGCTCTCATATACACTATTAGAACGCTCTCATATACACTACTAGAAAGCTCTCATATACACTATTAGAACGCTCTCATATACACTACTAGAAAGCTCTCATATAGCCTACACTATTAGAATGCTCTCATATACACTATTAGAAAGCTCTCATATACACTATTAGAAAGCTCTCATATACACTATTAGAAAGCTCTCATATACACTATTAGAAAGCTCTCATATACACTATTAGAACGCTCTCATATACACTACTAGAAAGCTCTCATATACACTATTAGAACGCTCTCATATACACTACTAGAAAGCTCTCATATACACTATTAGAACGCTCTCATATACACTACTAGAAAGCTCTCATATACACTATTAGAACGCTCTCATATACACTACTAGAAAGCTCTCATATAGCCTACACTATTAGAACGCTCTCATATACACTATTAGAAAGCTCTCATATACACTATTAGAAAGCTCTCATATACACTATTAGAAAGCTCTCATATACACTATTAGAAAGCTCTCATATACACTATTAGAACGCTCTCATATACACTATTAGAACGCTCTCATATACACTACTAGAAAGCTCTCATATACACTACTAGAAAGCTCTCATATACACTACTAGAACGCTCTCATATACACTATTAGAACGCTCTCATATACACTACTAGAAAGCTCTCATATACACTACTAGAAAGCTCTCATACACACTACTGAAAAGCTATTAGCGGATTTCAGTTGAAACGGAAGGTGTTTCAGTGAAACAGGAAGGACCGTCATTACACCGGAAGTTGTTTTAAACGGAGGTCATTCTGGCTAGCTCCATACATTTTGTGCTATCTCCGGCCGAAATTGTATCAAATAAAATTATTGATTCATGCTCAGCTATCCGCTAAACAACTCACAGAAGCATGGGCATTACTCGACTTTATTTTTTATGTTTTTGCTTCAACAGAGATCCTTTTCCGGTGTTGTGCGAAATTCTGTTCCCATGTGAAAATCTGTTCCACCTGTGTCGGGAGCGCGCCGCGCATTGCAGCCAGATAAGCGGATCTGATCATTTCCCACGCCTTTCGGATCATTTCTTGGTTACATAAAAAGTCGTAAAATTATACAAGGTTGAGACATTTAGTTTAATCAGCCGCTGTTGTTTACAAAATTGTAAAATAAAAAAAATAAATGCGGTTTTCTTATGCTGTTTTGTGTTGTTATTTTAAACGCCAAGAGAATCAGTCTCTTTCCAAGTTTTTTCACTTCAGCCTGACAGAAATAAAAGTCAAGTCACCAAATACCAAATTTGTATTTATAATTTTTTATTACTGATATAAGATGATGGGAAGTGCCTGATAGCAGTTCCATAATATGGAAACAAATTAATTTAGCTGCAAATCTTAAACTGTGTATATTCCTCTCTTCATCAACAACAAACCATCTGGATTCGGTGATATTTGAGCAATGTTTGCCTAAATTAAAGGAGGGGGACCATATATTTTAGCTTTCTAATAGTGTGTATGAGAACGTTCTAATCGTGTATATGAGAGCTTTCTAATAGTGTATATGAGAGCGTTCTAATAGTGTATATGAGAGCTTTCTAATAGTGTATATGAGAGCTTTCTAATATTGTATATGAGAGCTTTCTAATAGTGTATATGAGAGCTTTCTAATAGTGTATATGAGAGCTTTCTAATAGTGTATATGAGAGCGTTCTAATAGTGTATATGAGAGCGTTCTAATAGTGTATATGAGAGCGTTCTAATAGTGTATATGAGAGCGTTCTAGTAGTGTATATGAGAGCTTTCTAGTAGTGTATATGAGAGCGTTCTAATAGTGTATATGAGAGCTTTCTAATAGTGTATATGAGAGCGTTCTAGTAGTGTGTATGAGAGCTTTCTAGTAGTGTATATGAGAGCATTCTAGTAGTGTATATGAGAGCTTTCTAATAGTGTATATGAGAGCGTTCTAATAGTGTATATGAGAGCTTTCTAATAGTGTTTATGAGAGCTTTCTAATAGTGTATATGAGAGCGTTCTAATAGTGTATATGAGAGCGTTCTAATAGTGTATATGAGAGCGTTCTAGTAGTGTATATGAGAGCTTTCTAATAGTGTATATGAGAGCGTTCTAATAGTGTATATGAGAGCGTTCTAATAGTGTATATGAGAGCTTTCTAATAGTGTATATGAGAGCGTTCTAATAGTGTATATGAGAGCATTCTAGTAGTGTATATGAGAGCTTTCTAATAGTGTATATGAGAGCGTTCTAATAGTGTATATGAGAGCGTTCTAATAGTGTATATGAGAGCTTTCTAGTAGTGTATATGAGAGCTTTTTAATAGTGTATATGAGAGCTTTCTAATAGTGTATATGAGAGCGTTATAGTAGTGTATATGAGAGCTTTTTAATAGTGTATATGAAAGCTTTCTAGTAGTGTGTATGAAAGGTAAAGCTTTTCACCAGTTTATATGAACAGTTCTCACTACTTTGTATGAGAGCTTTTGAGTAGATTATATAAGAGGTAAATGTTTTCACTAGTTTATGTGAGAGCTTTTTACTAGTGTTTGTGTGAGGTTTTCAGTATATTATATGGAAGAGTGTAATTTAATATGTGTATATGCAAGTTAATTCTGATTTATGTCCCTGGGGGCACCTCATACAGTTCCATGACTCCTGTATGTATGTAAACACACACACACACACACACACACACACACACATATATACGTATATATATTCTCTAGCTTTTTCTCCGCCTGGAGCTTCCTTTCCGAACATACGGCTTTATAAACAGTTCCACGCAAATTAATAGCGATATAATATATCTGACGAAATTGTTTTTAGAAGCATTTTTATTAAAGAATCATAAATGCAACGATAAACATATTTAATTAATTTTAGTGCCAATTAAGGCCTTGATTAAAAAAAAGAATTATGAATTGTAATTATTTTTAATGATCCGCTGAAACCCTGGTTCATCTCGCGCATGCCCTCTACGATCTCCAAGGAACTCAGAGCGGAGCGGAGGGGACAGCGGCGGCTTTAGGCTTTGCTTTGTGCAGGCGGTCTGGAGCGCAGCGGGGCGTAGCGGAGCGGAGCGCAGACGGAGTATGTGGGATTTCGGGGTAACAGTAGAAGACGTGGACTGAATCAAACCCCAAACAACATGGATTAAGTTGCACATATATGGCACTCTTTCATCTATACATTTTTTTTTTTATAGCCGGAACTTCGGCAGGCATTTAAAGCATCAGTATTCAGTCAAGATGTGGGAGTTTGTAGGAGAGTTGGATAAAGTTTGGATATTCTAAGAATAGATTGGTGTTTTTTCCCCCAAACAATCTAGTTGGTTAAAACTAGTTTGGTTGGATTAAACAACATAATGATCAAACTCTGATCAAGCCACTGATAAAAAATTTAAATGTATAATATAAATAAGTAAATCTTTTAATATGTCGCCAGATAGACTTCCAATCTGTGAGTTGTTGGTTCAGGACCCACCTAAGACTTTTAAAAGTTTTCATAAAACACATCTAGTATTTTGGTTAATGTGACTAATTTGCATTTGTATTCCTAGTTATTGCAGCAACTTCAGGAAACAAAAAAAAGCTGCTGAGAGGCTGAGGTCGGGCTGTTCCTTGTCTGACGTGCTCGTTCAAAATAAAAAAGGAATCCGCTGAGATCAATATGTTGCTGATGTGAACTTGATTCACATCACAGGTATAAAGGATGTTTCCAAAATATAACTAGTCAAAACATAGATTACAGTAATTTGCATTGCGGTCAACCAAAAATACAGCGGCCCATTCACCCACTCTCTGCCAGTGACACTCCCAAAGGTGATTAATATGCCCATTTACAAAGCTCCTCCCAAATCTAATTGATCCATTCCCCTACAAACTAACAACCAAACCAACCAATAAAAACAAAACCATAACAGCTATAAAATCAGACAAACAAACATCAAAGCATCTTATATTTATGGCTCCTACACTAGTATAAATATAGATTGGTAAAAACACACAAAAAAATAGATTGGTGGGTTTAACCAGAAGATTGGTTGAACACATAACTTCCAAAAGGATTAAAACCACAAACTGTAGAAAAACTATTATGTTTAAATAAAAATGACTAACACCTTGCATTTTCTCATCATTGCCCAATTTGCACAAGCAAACTTTCACTGTCTGCTCGAGCTTATTCCACTTAAATGGCAGAACAACTGTGTACCTACAATTACTGTTTTCTTCTAAGACATTTTACATACAAAAAAACTTAAAGATTTTATTATACAGACCAAACATTAACTATTTCAAATGAACAAAAACAATATTGCAAAAAACAATTATATTACTAACTGTAGTTCTGCACTCCACCAGTAGGTGGTGACATTTTCACATGAAGCTTGATCTCACCATCACTGTCTTTAAGTTATGATAATCAAAGTTTTCAAAACTGACTGTTACTTTACTATATTTGAGCTCGCTATGATGATATGGTGTCATTGAACAGATTGAGCCAAACTGTCATTTTACATATATTTGTTGTTTGAAATGATAACTTTAGCCAGATAAACAAAAAACTTTATATATTTGTAATAAGAATGCTAAAATGGGGGGAAACTGAGTATTTGGATTAGCAATGACTAATTACTACACAATAGTCCTTTCATGAGCGCACATTTCCTAATAACTGAAATAAATGTTAAGAAGTCGGTGGAGTTTCCCTTCTGCTTCTTTCTGCATCAGCAGAGGAAGCTTTATAAAAGCAGGAAGCAAGAGTCAAAAATCATGGATGGACCAGAATAACTCTCAGTCAGCTGCTCTGGCTCGGAAGCTCTTTTCAACTTTGGTTCACTACAGTAACTAACATTAACAGTGCAGACAACATATTTTAAAGAAGAGCCAGAGGTCAGTTAGAGCAGCAGGTGGAGTGTAACGGTTCAGCAGAGAGGAACACTGCAAATGATCAGAGAAGTTTAATAAAGACTCACCAAGGAGCGCAGAAGGCAAACAACCCCGGAGCTACCCGCGAAGAAGTCGGCATTTATGCTAAATAACAAGACACGGAAACGTCAAAATAAAAATTGTCTTTTTTTTTAAGTTTATGTGCGACAACAACGAGGAAACGCGGCGCCTCCGACAGTCCTCAACATGTCTTCTTCTTCTTCTTATGAGATTTTATGGCGGTTGGCAAACTTGTGAAATGTGCATTACCGCCACCAACTGATATGGAGTAAAGCAAGGAAACAGGAAACGATTCACCCCCCCCAAAAAAAAAAAAAAAAAAAAAAAAATACAATAAAATAACCTGTGTAACTTAAACCCACATAATACTAAATTATACTAAATTACATTTGCCCGTATAATTTTAATTTACTCTAGGTCATCGTACCTCTGCCAGTTTCTGATGGTCCCATTGGTCTTTCCATCATGCTTCCAACCATCTCCCAGTTCATATCTTTAACATCCAGATATTTTTCTGCAGCCTTCACTATTATTTTGATTTTTTCTGTTTTTTTTGTCGTCTGAGCAGTACAATTAATCACTTCCACCATGAAAAGAACAAAATTTGTCTTTTTAACAATTAGTGAGTCTTCATCAATTTTTGGAGATTTCTCTAGAGGTTTGAAATTTGCCGTGTGTTGAACTGTAGGTTTGGGTTTTTCTGACTGAGATGGGATCCTTTTTGCAGCTTCAGCATAAGTTATTCCAAGCTCAAATTTCATTTTTTTTATTTCTTCAGACCTTTTGCTTGCTTCACAGCCGCGATAAGCAGCAGTATGTTCTCCACCACAATTACAGCATTTTATTTTAGCTTCTTTTCCACATTTACCATATTCATGTTCTCCTGCACACCTTCCACACCTCTGTTTCCCTTTACAAACTGCTGCAATGTGTCCGAATGTTTGACATTTGAAACATCTCAATGGTGGTGGATTGTAGATTTTGACATTGTAACTGATGTAACCGATGAATACTTTGCTTGGTAATTGCTCTTCCTCGAATTTAATTAGTACAGATAAACTGTCAGATCTTTCTCCGTTTCTTGTTGTTTTTAACCGTTTTACTTCTTTTACTTTTGCACCGCTTATGTTTTCCAGAATCTCTTTTTCAGAAATTTTCAGAGGAACTCCTCCAATGACTCCCCTGCTGATCTTTTTGTTCTCCATTAGGCTGCACTGAACTCTTATCCCGTCAATTTTGTTAATACGTATTGCTTTGCCTTGCTGGGCGCTGTCTCTGCAGTTAATTAGCAGGTCTCCACTGTACAGAATTCTGGCACCTCTGACTTCTCCAACAAGTTTATTGATGGTTTTTGTTAAGTGAACCGGATTCCAGTTTGTAAAAGAGTCTGCCTGATTAACGACTTTGAATATGACTTTGAATTCATTTTGTTGTGCTGTGGAATGTATGGATTGATCATCACTGGATTGTTCTGAACTAGATTCCCCTTTAACTGATCTCTGTTTTTTCCGCTTTTTCTCATTTTTTGATGCTGCTATCTTCCAACCTTCATTGTCACTATTTCCCTCTTCCATCCCACAAGAATCGCTTCCTGTTTCCTCACTACTCACGGCCCAGGACATTTCTCCACAAGCAGAGCAGCTTCAAAACACGCGCCATGCACCAAACGACCAACGTTCCTCCCACCAATCAGCAGCGTCCTCAACATGTCAATCTCACTGCGGGAACTTTAATTATCGCGATACCCTGCAACTTCCGTTACGCCTTCAAATTGAAACACCGGAAGTGGCTCGCAATAGTCGCTTGGATTGTGATATAAAAGCTAGAATAAAGTCTACAACACAGAAATTAATATAACAATAGTGATGTTTTTAAAATCAATTAAATATTTTTGATTTTTTATTATAAATTATTAGTAATGTAGTGACTATTTGTACAAAACTAACATTCAAAATTCAATTCAGTTTATTTCTATCGCGCCGTTTCACAACACATGTCATCTCAAGGCAGTTTACAGTTCACCAGATCATCCAGTCAAATTGATTCAAAGTTTTCTTTGCATTGACTCATTCACTCGAATGCAATCCCTCACACTAACCATGCTTGTAGCGACAGTGGAGAGGAAAAACTCCCCTTTAACAGGAAGAAACCTCCAGCAGAACCAGGCTCAGTGGGAGCAGCCATCTGTCTAAAAGCCGACTGGGGTTCAAGGAGACAGAAGCAGAGATACAAAAAACAACTGTAAAAGGCGGCCCTCTCCAGGAAACACAGCCAGGCAGACGAGCTCCGAGCCAGCTCCCATGTCAGAGGATGAAGAGAGCACATCCAGCCAGTCACAGTCAGAGAAACAGGACTACACTGGAAAAACAGGCTGGTCTCCAACATCTAGAAACAAAGGTGTTGATGACAGTAGCACAGCTGATATTTCTCTCCAGGATGGTGTCACAGCCAAACAGGAAAAGACGAGGCAAAGCCACTATGAGAAAAATCAGAGAGAGCATAACGTTAGAGATTGAACTAACAGATTCTGCAGAGTGGGAGAATAGAGATAGAATAAGCAGAATTTTGAAATTCTACTTAAATAGCCACCTGATGCACAGTGGATTCTGGCTTATGCAGTCCAAAAAGATAAAAAAAAAAGTGTCAAAATCCAGTTCTTTGCTTGCTTTATTCTCCATACAGACAAACAAGGGTACATGTTTCACAGGATTCTTCTACTGCTCTCACTCTGATTCTTGCACCTGTTCTTTGATTGACTGACTGATTGAGACTGAGAGTGAAAACTGGTTAAAAAAAAAACTATATGGCCACCCCCATGCAATTTGATCTACCTAAGACATACCTATTTATACTGTGAAACACCATCATCCAAAGCTAAAGTCAAATAGCTAATTAAGTGAATCACTAAACAAATCCTATTCTAAATAACAAATCTCACTTAATAATCCAAATTCTAAGAATTAAATAAAAATTGAGAAATAGCTCCTACAAGTAATAAAGTTAACATCAATTATAAATGGGGATCTACTGCTCCTGGTGGCTGCATTCAAATATTACTGTGTTTTATAAACAGGAAAAAGGAAATTAAATACCATTTCCATTTATAGATATATTGTTTCCAGCCTTACAAACCTAATATTTTATATGTGCGTATATTGTATATCTTTTACCCTTCTTTATTTTTTAATAAATGTTTATTACCGGTGTATCACTAGTGTATTTTGGGGAATACATACAGTAAACAATGCAGTTCCTGACATTTTTAAAAGTACCAGGGTGAATCATATATATATAATAATTAAATCCGCTGAAGGACAGTAACCTTCTATTTTTTGAGATAAATAAAGTTCTATTTAACAACACAATGGTAAACTCAAAGTGTCTGTTTATGTCACTAAATTAAAGTACCACATTAAAAGTTTAGATAAGCTAAGTGTGTTTTAATCGTGATTAAAACCATCCTTCACCCACCCAGTGTTTTTAATTGCAGAAATGAAAAAAAGAAAAAGAAAAACTAATGCGCACGAGCTGACGTTCAGCTGACCAATAAGAATCGGTTTTATCTGTGATTGACAGCTCCTCTGACCAATAGGATAACTAGAACATTCTGTTTACAACAACCCCCCCTTTTCCCTACAAGTCGACTGTTTTGGTGAGTTGAGAAAAGTTCATTGAAGCCATTGACTTGTTTTAAAACGCTGAATTTGAGAATACTTAACAGAGTTGAACATTTTTACCTCTAAACTGGTTAGAGGAGTAAAAACACGGAGCTGTCAGCGAAGGTTTTGTGCTCTAAATGCAGTTTCGCAGCTCGCTCTCGCTAAGCTTTTTTTTTTTTTATTGTTGACGTTAGTTGTTTTGTTGCGGTGTTGATTTTACGCAACAATGTTTCAACCATTTAAAAACCAGCCGAACCCTTATTCCCCTCTCCGAAGCTTACTTTCAATCCGATCTTAGTCTGATGTAATCATATTTTTGTCGTTTTCTTTTCAGTCGACGCGACAATGTTTCACTCTACTTTTTTTTCCTCTGAAGTTTCAATTAAACGGACGTTTTTCGACATTTTTTGCCGATTGTTGACAGCGGGCGATATCCCACCATCATCAGGGTTTAATAAATAGTTTTTGTCTTCTTATTTAAACTGTTTTATCGTTGTCTTTCTTTATGTTGAATGAATGGAGCTTAAAGTGCGCATGCGCGCTGGAGCTGGACGTTTATAAACAAGGATTCTGACTTTAAAGCCTGAATCCAGCACCCTAACATATTAAAGCTCTGTGTTTCAGCTACATCATGGTTTGGGAGGTTAAAAACCCACCATCCAGGACCAATATGCAGCAGACTGACCCTCAGAGTGAATCCACAGGTAACTACATGTCCAAACCAGAAGGGTCCATCCTTACAGGAAGCTTATGTGGGGACATTTTTGGGAGAATAACTAATATTCCTGTCATTTAATCAAACAAACTTCATTTATACCAAATGTTCCCAATATATTTTAGCTCTTTACCCCCTTAAAACATATAGTTACTTTACTCTTATTTGTTTTTACATATAAAATGAAGTAAATGTATTCATGGGAGGTTTTAGATGGGGGCCAACAGGGGCCAATGCCTCTGTAGAACAGGTCCAGGTCCCCTACTATGGTCCCATTACTGAAAAAATGCCCAAAAAATGGAAATTGAAGTAAGATAAGTCAATATTTTCTGGAGCTAAGTGCATTTCTCCTCAATCTAAGCAGATCAGTAAGGTAATTTAGAAATACAATAAGATGATTTTCATTTAAAATTAGAAAAAAAACTTAAATATCCTCTTTATGTGCATTCTATGTAATTATCTTATTATAAGGGCATAAATCTTCCTTCATTTGTCAGATCCTCTTATTTACCTACTTTAACCAATGGCAAATGCACTAGCTTTAAGAAATGTTTTGACAGTTTTTCGTACCGACACACGAGGCTGTAAGAGCCGCCAATTTAATATTCTGATTTTACAATTCACTTCAAAAATCACAAAATTACAGAGAATGACATTTGTAAAACTCAATCTGAAACACATAAATTTGATAAAAGAAAACTAATTTCAATAAGTAAAACTTTAATAAATTTGATTTTAAATAAATAAATATGAAAATAAAAATACAATTTTTTTGAAAAATATATTCCCTTATTTATAGAAGAAATCAAAGTTCTTTTCTAACTGGGTTTAAGCATAAAACAGATGAAAAAAAAAAACCCGAACCTAGTAACAACAGAATCATAAATAGATATAAAATTTCTAGACCTAGAGGTAGGAACATCTATGTCAAAAACTAGAATTTGAAGAAATATAGAATTAGTATAAATTTGAATATCAGGTAGGATTAATACAAACTATTGCAAGAAACTAAATAATAGATAAACAAAATGAACATAATGTTATAATACAAATGCAAAATAATACAAAAAACAAAAAGATAAACGTATTATAATTATTAAATCAGGATAGAAATAAAATAAAATGACTTAGTTTGAGATAAAAGCCAGGCTAAGATAACATAAACTCTCTCTCAGGTTATCAGTCCGGCCTTTTCATTGTAGATTATTAGCATTTTACCCTGAAATTAATTTTAGTTTAACCTAAAATGGCAAAAAACATGTCAGGAGGGACAAATTAAAGGTACACTATGCAACCGGTGTTGATTTTCCAGCGAGGCTCCCCCCAGAGGGCGAAATAAAAGTGCACTGTCGTAAATATGCTCAGCTGTTCTCCTGGTTTCTCCGTCAAGCCCGGCGCGGTTGTTTTGAGCTTAGCAGCGAATGACTAATGCTGCGTTCACACTGGACGTAGCTGGCGCGACAGAAGCAGCGAGTTTACATGCAAAGTCAATGGTTGACGCGCGTCAAGGCGCAGCAAAAGGTCCCGCGGCGCGTTTTGAGCACCAGGCGCAGCACGTCTGAGCAACTGAAGCAGCGCGTCGGGTGCGTTTAACGCAGGGAGAGAGACACAGCGCTGATGATCTCTCCTCTTAAACAGTTTATTGACGCCTAAATTAACTTAAAATGCAGAAATCTGCCGGCAGAATATGCAGTTTGGATTATTTAGATGAAAAACACCTACCAGCTGCCGCGGTGAACCGCTGCTGATGAAGGGATCCCTACTTTCGGCGCATCCCTGGTATGTGGGGGTCTGAGCGGCTCCGACAGAAAAAATATTGAAGGCAGGATAATAATCTGAATGAACTGACGGCACTGATTACGTTTTCAGGTGTATTTTCTCACTTAAACACATATTAAAACTACTTTATTCCCACTGATCACAGCAAATATAGCTGCAAGGCAGAGAAAGGATAGTGAAGCTCCGCCCAATGCGCCTCAGACACACTTTTGCACCGCACAGCCAGAGCAGCAAAGCTGCTTCAGCCGCGCGTCAGAACTAACTGGTACAAGCAGCAAAAAGGAAGCAGCAGACGCGATTTTGCTGCTTTTGCTGCGTGAACGTAGCATAACTGCACAAAGATCGCCACTGTGCTAGCAACGAGAATGCTTTTAACTGGGGGCGTGTAGCAGTTCTCGCCGTAAAGCAAGACTGACTCTCACGAGACTTCTGAGCCTGTGGATGCGGGTCGGTGCTCCTGCAGTTGCAAGTGCAGTATTTCCCCCACAGACCACCAGGGCGGCCGAGAATACCTTTGTTCAACCTGAAATGACTCATTTAATCATCCATAACGTTATGGAACACATTAATTAACTGAAAAATGTTGCATAGTGTGCCTTTAACCTAAAGAGAAAGCAGATCTCTGTGATCACCCATTCTGCATGGATTTAACTCTTTATCTGAGAGTGAACCTCTCAGACCACTAAACCTTGCTGATGGTATGAGTGATCAAACTCATTAGTTTATATTTTTTATGTGACATAACTACAAAATCCTCCCACATCCCCTATATAGAAAACATGGAGGTTTGTTTGTGGCAGAAACCCAGCTTGACTTTTGTGTTTCCTCCAGGGATAATGAACATTGATGGGAACCGGGCTCATGATCCGCTACGCTGTGACGAACACTTCCCCTCCTCACCCAGCCTCCCCACCAGCGACACTTTCATGGAATACGGTATCTTAAACACGGGCAACAACACAACTGTTTTAATTTAAGCAATTCAAACCTCACAAGCGGTGTTCTAACCCCTGCGTTTGGTTTCTTCTCCCAGACGACCTGCCGGATCTACAGGAGGTTCAGGAGGAACTGGAGCCGGCGCCCGTTTACCAGCTGGAACTGGGTGTGTCGCACCAGGAGCGGCGCGCCGACCCACAGCCCCCGGAGACGCTGTGGCTCACGCAGCTGGCCCACATCGCCACCGGACCTCAGAGCCCACTGCTACAGGGTCTTCCTCACAGCAGGTTAGTGTGCTCCTCCAGAAAAGGAATAAGAACTTACCGTAGAGGGTCATGTGCAATGGGAGCCTCACACCTGCATTATAATGGGAGAGTTCACACTACGGGGTGAAATTTGCTCCGTTATTGTTGCAAAGAGCCCATTTCAGGTTAACTTTGCAAATTTTTTAGATTTTGTTTTTCAAATACATTGATTTCATTTAATTACATATATTTTTACTTTATGTATTTTTTTTTTCAATTTCATTGTTGGAAATGTATATTTGTCAAATTAAGATTAACAAATTCCTTCTTTCCTAACTTAATTTCACTAATCAATCTCTCTTCACTTCAAGCCTAATAATATTGCTAATATCCAAGGCATTTTTGCTCCTCACGCCATAGGAAAGCCCGCCCCTAGAAGTGAAGAGAATGTGATCTGGAAAACATAATAAAAGAGAAAATGTTTCTGAAAAAACAAAAAATTAAAAAGTAAAATTTGTAAAGAAAATTTATTTAAAAAAAATGTATATAAAAAAAATGCAAAATTACTCTCAAACCTTTTAAAGTTTATTTTCTAGGTTGTTTCTTTCTTTTAAATCTCCATATCATAATACATTCATCACTTGCAACAATACTGGAACAAATTTCACTCCATATTTAACAAGTGATGCTACCATAAGTGCACAAAGTCGCCACTTTCCCTTTACATTAAGAGTTCAACTAATGCTTATTTTGCTAATTGGTTTATCTTTGGATTATTTATTTCAATTAATCGACTAATAATCTGATAGCAACAGATTCCCTAAAGAGGATTTTATATAGATTTTAAACCAGGTGGAACTAAAACATTTCTACGTGAGGGTTATCAATATGGTGTCTGGCAGAGGTTTTCCCATTTACTAGGCTACTGACTGAAATCGCTCTTTTACCAGAGCTTCTTTACCCAGGGTTTCCACAAGTTAAATCAGTAAATTATAATTTTTTTAATTAAGGCCTTAATTGGCATTAAAATGTATCAAATGTGATTGTCGTGGCATTTAAAATCTATTAAAAAAAGAAAAACGTTTATAAAAACTATTTCATCAGATATATATGAGATATTTATTGAAAAATGCAAAGTGACTGGAAAACGAGGAATTTGGACATGGCTGCAGCCTGTCGACAGGCTTTTGCAATGTTATATATATTTACACATATGTATTAAAATAAGAGTCATGAGTATTGTTGATGGCATTAAAATTATTTCTAAGAGCATTAAAAGCATTAAATTAGAGTTACTCATTCCTGTATAAACCCTGTTACCAGACAGGTTGGGAAAGCTTTCATATTGAGCTCTGATTTTTTACTATAACGATAAATAAATGGCAGCCACAGTGATCTATCTTTTAGTCGCCTTTTAGTAGGAAGATTTAAAATCCAGAGGATGATGAGAAGGTCGCCACGATCGTTCAATGTGAGATTCGTTTGGACACGCTAGCAAATAGATGAGAAATCCTTGAGTAAATTGTTGTACTGTTTGTTAGAAGCGTTTGATTGGTGCTTCCTGCTGTAGTCTATGAAAATCTGAAATGACGACATCTGCTGGCCCAATCAGGTATTACTTCTAACTGAAGCATTAGATCTGAGGCCATCATCAGACCTTTAGTCCTTTTAAATTATTGTCAGAAAATGCCAGAAAATAGAACCTTGTTTAAATTTCTCCCATGAATCACAGCGCCTGTTGGTTTCCATTTTTTAGCTCCCCTGCAGTCTGCATCCCCAGCACCAGCAGTGACCTACACTCCTACGCCCGTCCTCCACCTGCTCTCCTGAGCAGCACGTCGCCATCTAGAGTTCACAGCAGACAACGACATCGCAGCAGGGTAGAGCCGGCTTCACCTTGTGTTCAGTAACGAGCAGCTTTTTCCTTCCTTTCTGACGGCTGCTTCCTTCTGCAGACCAGCAGTGAGTGCGGCTCTGCCGTCTCTACCAGGTCCTCCCTGTCTGATGATGAGGACATGGGCTGGAGCTTCTCCTGCCCCCCCACAGCCTGGCACTGCTTTCTGAAAGGTAGAGGAACTCCTTCCTTCCTTCCTTCCTTCCTTCCTTCCTTCCTTCCTTCCTTCCTTCCTTCCTTCCTTCCTTCCTTCCTTCCTTCCTTCCTTCCTTCCTTCCTAGTGCCACTCTTTTATTCTCCCCCCTTTTTTCTCCACTTATCTTCCTTCTTTTTTAATTCCTTCCTTCTTTCCTTTCCTTGTATCCTATCTCACTTCCCTCCTTTCTTTCATTCATTGTGTTTCCTTCGGATTGATCTGTCCTGTCCTCCTTCAAACCTGCGCCCCTGCTCCCTTTTATTCCTCGTGTCCTTCTAAGTGTCCCTCTTTCCATCCTCTCTTACGGTTTTGTTTTCTTTCTCTTATTTTCTTTCAAGGAATCCCCTCTAAAATATTAGGCATAAAATCAGGGGGAACTTCATACTTTATAATTGACTCTAACCTCTTTACTGGCACCATGTCACCAGCCGATGGTTTGTTATCTTTAGACCTCAGCTATTCATCCCACATTGTATATTAACTGATCGATCTTCCAGCATCACACGGCAACCATCACCAAGACTTCTATAATGCGGTTTTACTGGCTTTGGTTATTAACACGGACGCAACAGTGAATGCTGCTGCGTAACGTCCACCATCACCCCATCAGCCAGATGTCACTGACTCCCGTTTTATAGCCCAAAAATTTTTCATAAACTGCCTAGACATACGAAATCTCACCCAATTTGAATCAAAGTCTATTGATCTCTTAGGCCATAAATCTAAATCCTAAACTGCCAGCTTGGGATGTTTCCCAACCTGGCAACGATGCACGTAAGACGAGCAACGTTAGCATTTAGATGCAAAACCCCATCATGCACCGCAACATATTTTAGCAAAATATTCAAAGATAAATTCGCCAATTATAAGAGGAACATCGTAGTTTGGTTTAAAGAAAGCATTTTAGTTTTAATATAATTTTGGACTGTTGCAAGGATTTTACAGTTTAAAGAAATAGAAAATTACACCATATACCAACTGTCAAGAGCTATATATACAGCATGCATCATTTACGTAGCTAACGTTGTATTACTTCTTAAGCTCCTTGCGTTATTTACTGTCACAGATAGGAGCTTCGGCCGGAGAGGAAGTGTTGGGCCGGTATGATTTAAGGAGGGCCGGCCCTCACATGCTGAAATTAGGACCGGCCCACAGTCTACCCGATATCACAGATTACCAGTTCGAACCTGTATTTGGTTTTGCAAAAAGGCGAGGATTACTAACTGAAGTTCAGATTTCTTAATTAAATTAAGTATTTTTCCTCATCTTCCTTTTGCGATAAAAACTGTGATGTTCCCTCATCCCGTAATGTCAAAGAAAGACGCACACATTAAACTCTTCTCTCCTGACCTAAAGCCATATGTAGAGTGAAGTTTTGCTCGTCTCCATCATCAGGAACTCGCCTGCGCTTTCACAGCGGCTCCTTTGTGGGCTGGCAGGGCGTTGAGGAGCTGGGCTCTGCTGAGGAGGACCGTACGGACGAGGAGCGGTCCAGATTCCTGAAGGTACAGCTCCAGTGTTTATCGGCTGCAGTGAATCGGCAGTAGATAGATGGTACAACCCCTTTACAATCCCGTCCACAGAGTTACGGCTCCGAGGGCCTGCAGCTGGTGGAGCATGAAGAGACGGTGTCCTCCGGTCAGGCCGTCTTACAGCTAACCTTTGACCCCGGGGTGTTTGGACATACCCCGATCACAGCGCGCTGCCACCTGGATCACCCCTTCTACGTCAAAAGCAAAGGTGGGCGAACGTCAGGCGGACAGATCCACTTTCACAGCTTCAGGATTTAAACCCTTCCTGTTTCTCTCAGGATGGTCGTCCTTTTATCCCAGCTTGACCGTGGTGCATTATGGGATACCGTGCTATGAAATGGAGGTGGGGGACACGTGCCTGCCTCCTGGACACAGAGATGCTAAGCATACGGAGGATTCACTGGTGTTTGACACATTTAAAAGGTGAATGTTGTTTTATGCTGCGTTTAGGTTCCAGTAGGAACCAGAAGCTTCCATCCCGACGCGTCGGAAATGTTCTAAATCCGATTTTCCTTGCTTTAAATGTGACTCTTTTACAGCTACGACTTCACCCCTCTGGACTCCTCTGCCGTCTACCTGCTGAGCAGCATGGCCAGACGTCGACATGCGTCACAGTCCAGCGGGGGCGCTGTTTCCCCCGAAAGAGAAACATTACCAGGTCCTCTTCTAATCCTTTTGTCCACATTATGGAAGCCCGGTTCCGCCCCATTATAATAAAAATATGCCAAATAGAAAGTCATAATAATGTTACAATTTTGACTTTCAAAGTCAAAATTATGAGATATTCGACTTTCAAACTTTATATCTCATAATTATCGCTTTGAAAGTCGAGATTATGACTTTAAATCTCATAATAATGACTTTGTATCTCATGATTATGACTTTAAAAGTCGAATTTATGAATTTCTATCTGATAATTATGACTTATAAAATTGAAATTATGAATTTATATCTCATAATTATGAATTTCAAAGTAAAATTATGACTTTGTATCTCATAATTATGAATTTCAAAGTAAAAATAATGACTTTGAAAATCGAAATTAGGAATTTCTCTCTCATAATTAGGACCATGAATGTCAAAATTATGAATTTCTCTCTAATAATTATGAATTTCAAATAAAAATTATGTATTTGTATCTCTGAATTATGAATTTCAAAATTAGAAATTATGAATTTGTATCTCATAATTATGACTTTGTATCTCATAAATATGATTTTGAAAGTTGAAATTATGACTTTCTATTTGTCTTTTTTTACTTTCATGAGGCGGAAATGGGCTTCCATAACATGCACTCATTGTGCAAATAAATCTGATTTAGATTATTTATACAGATACTTCTAAAACTCTACGATTTGATGAATATCCACTGATTTATGTCTCAGAATGTAAAATGAAACTGTTTTTGTACGGAAACACTCCAGACAGCCACAGTCCTCGACAGCAGAAAGCAGCTAAAGCTAAAGCTCAAAGCAGCAGCAGCAGCGCCTCGCCCAGTAAATGCAAGCGGCCGATGAACGCCTTCATGCTGTTCGCCAAGAAGTTCAGGGTGGAGTACACACAGATGTATCCCGGCAAGGATAACAGGTGGGCGGAGCTTCTGAGTCTTTTATTTCTATAGTGTTATTGTGTGAAAAATGCTTTTGCAGACAAGCTGCTTACTGCAAGAACAGCTTCAGAGTAGATCTCTAGGTGATCCTATGGAGTGAACTTTGGTCCATTATTGTTGCAATCAAAGAATATGTTTTGTAAATTGATATTTAAAAACAAGCATATTTTTCAAAAATATATTTTTTATTATTTTATAATTATTATATAATTTTTAACTGGAAATTTAAAGGAAAATAAAATGTAAAAAAAAAAATTAAATGGAAATTTGAAAAAATAATTTTACTCCTAAAATGAACATTTGCTGTTTCTTAGGTTCTATCCTTTCAATTAGTTTTATTTTTTTTATTTATCATTTAAATTTTCTAATTTTATTTATTCAAATGTTTTGTTTTCTTTTTGTTTTAACAGATTTTATATTTTCATTTTTTTTACTTCAAACCCTACTAGAAAACTCAATTTAAAAAAGAGAAATTAAAAACAAAATACATTTGAAAATATTAAATCAGTAAAAAAAAAAAAAATGAAAACAAAAATAGAAAAAAATATATGAAAACAGGAAAGTAATTTTCCAAAACTTTTTCAGTTTTTCAATGTTTTATTTATTGATTCAATTTTTTTTAAATTTCTATTTACAACATGTGATCTTTGCTTCCAACTATGATGGAACTAAATTCACTTCCAGTCAATTTTTCTGGAAATAATTTGTCTTTAATTTGAGAAAACCAAGAAGGATTACATTCCAAATGAAAAAAAAAACACTCTATTATCTTATTTTAATAGATTTAAATCTATTTAAATCCTCATATCATTAGCAGATTATCTTATTTGCCCTCTAAAATTAAGGGAGAATTCCCTCAATATAAGACATTTGTCTCTAATTTTAGATCAGGTTTTGCTGCGTTCTTTTAAATGGCTTTTTTTTGTGCTCAAACAGACAAATGAGGGAAATAATCTGTGAAATGTACCTCCTGTTACTGATCCTCCTTCGGATTTTTGGCGTGACTTTAACTAGCCCCTTCCAACCTATGAGTGTGTCAGAATGAACGCTGTTGGAACACATGTGTTCAAGCATGCGCGTCTGTGCTGCAGAGCCATCAGTGTCCTCCTGGGGGAGCAGTGGAAGAAAATGCGAAGCGAGGAGCGCCGCGTCTTCACCCTGCAGGCCAAAGCGCTCGCCGACGAGCAGAAAAGGCTCAACCCCGACTGCTGGAAGCGCAAAAGAACCAACTCTGTGAGGTCACACAGATGCTTACGGCGCCACTTGAGGTTTGGGAGGATAATATCTGACTCAGGTCTTTGTTTTCTTGTTTTTTATCAGCAGGGCTGCCAAGGAAATCAAAGCTGAATCGAGGGAGCATGTCGGAGTACAGACAGAATCAGAAGAAGAAGAAGAAAGGAGCCTTGTACTGGGATTCAGTACGTTCTGGTGTTTATGGGATTATCAAAGATCTCAAAGCAGAACAACAAAGTAGAAACTCACCTTTAATGGGCTCCAGGTAACAAGTTTAACCCCTTAAAACATTTAATTAAATGTTTGGGGTTGGGGAGGGGGTGCGCCGCCTTCCTATCAGAGACGAGCCTTTTTCTGAGGAGCAGGTCTGACCACTGGGTGGCGCTCCTATCAAACCAGAGCTGTCCTGGTGGTTCTCTCCTAGTGCTTGAACCAGGTGGAGGTTGTGGTGCTGTAGCATTTTAGCCAAAGCTATGTAGCCGATTTCTCCTAATCTATGTCATATGCAATTTATTTCCTCGTCTGTTATTACTTGTATTTAAACTAAGTGTTACGGCACAAAATTATAGGAGATGTATTTAGCGTTAGTTTATATTAGCCTTGTTTTATTGCAGCTTTAGTGCGTAATGTTCATCTGCTAAATTCGTTTAGGAGCTTCTTCATTAATTCATTACCATTTAAATTCACAGGTTGGGGTTTCTGTTCTGTTGAAGGGTTATGCGCCGTCAGTATCGTACCTGCAGTAGATCATTTGGAGTGATGGCGGTCAGCCATACGCTGAAGCTAAAACATCTAGTCCAGATGTCTGAATCCTGTGGCTATTAATAACTTCAACTTAAAATAATACAGAACTGATTATAAAAAAAAAGATATTTAAAAATACTGCAGGTTTTTCACTTTTTTTGTTTTAAAGTCGTGCACTAATATCAGTTTTCACCAAGCATAAAAAGTCTGACTTTCTGATTATGATTTTTGACTTCTATTATTTAATAACAATACATCTTTAATGTTTCAGACTTATTTAATTTCTAATAGATTGAACAATATCAATGAAACAATAAGAATTTGTTTTATGCATGATAAAGTCCTTAAATAGCAATGAAAACTAGTGACTATGGTTTATTTAATGACCTTTGCAGAGGTACGGAAGATCGGACTGGCTTTGTTTAAGTATTGACCGATTTTCACTCTGTTCAAAATTAAGGAGATTAGGGCTTAACGATAAACCGGCCAATCAGAAAGCCTGTATTTTTAAAATCTATTTCTCTTCTCAACATTTGGGGGGGTTTTTTAAGTGTAAAAAAAAAAGGTGGTTCTTTACAAATGAAAAATTATCTTGTGTCGACAGTGTTAAACAATAAAGTATGGAGTGAAGTTTGTTCAATTATTGTTACAAACAATGAACCCATTTTTTAAACTGATATTTGAAAAAAAGTGACATACAGAAATGGACTTTAAAAAACTTTTTTGAGAGTAACTGCTGTTTTCTTATTTTTTAAATTATTCAATGTAAGTTTCCAAATTTCCTTCTCTTGAAATTGCATTTTACAGATCGCATTCTCTTCACTTCTGGCAAATGCATTTCTAAGGTCTGCATGAAAGCTGGCAAAAGTTTTTTTATTGGTGGAGTGTTTAGATTGGGATGGAATTGAAGAAAATGATGAATGAATTTTTAAAGAATCCAATTCATAAAACTCAGTCTGAAAAAGAGATTTGGAAAAATAACGAGAATTTGAAAAACATCCTAATCAAAAAGAGTGACTTTGCTATTATGTTGGGTTGTATTTCTTCTTCAAATTGTTTTATTTTATTATTATATCATTTAAAATGTTTATTTTTCTACACTTTATTATTATTGTTTTACAGATTTTAAATTTTTATTCTATTTATCCAAATCCTCTTTTTCTTACATTAAGTTTTGAAATTTGAATCTGAAGACAGAAATTTGAAAATTTAAACATAAAAAAAAAAAATTTAAATAAAATAAAATAAAATATAAAATAGAATATCAAAATACCCGAAATACTTTTTTTTTCCCCATGAAAAGGCTTTTAAAGCTTCATTTCTGGATTGAAATTTTCTTTTTGATATTTATTTACAAAATGCTTTCTTTACTTTCAACAATAAAGGCACAAAAGTCACTCCATAGGGTGACCTGTGCAAACATATAGAAGCAAAGGGGAAAAAAGATTGGATGAAACAGGAATAAAACATTTTCATGACTTTTTAAATTGCTTTTATGTTCTGGTAAAAATTAAAATAATTTTCATCATGGCTCTACGAAACCTGCTTCACTTTTTAGGTTTTCATCTAGTTTTGTGTCTGATTATTTGTGGGCTGCTTGTTTTCTTTTTTTTTTTTCCAATAACAGGATTAGCAGCGTGAGTTTTGATAAAGTTGGGATTATTATAGGAAAGTCAGCATACACTTAGGCTACAGTCACACCGCAGGCCTTAGACCGTTCACATTTCCAGATATATGCGACTTGTATGTGATCTCCTGTGTGAACTGCATCCATACAACACAATTGTCCCACATGCGGAGTAGAGGACGCAATGACCTCACAAGCAAGCGTGCTCTGTCTTTACGGAAGTAAACGTGGATAATAGGGATGGAGCGCATCTAGAGATCTTTCCCCGACCTTAAAAACTCAATTTTTTCAAGAAGATTAAAACAAAAACTTCTCTCCGCATTATCGTCCCCCATGGTTGTTTTTCTTCCTGCTTCTGCGTAGCAAGACACAGAATAATGACCTTTAATGGCGTTTAGGTGGGATAAATGTTACCCGGCTGATCATACACAGGTCGCATTTGAAAAGATCAGATTCGTATCGGATTCAGGACCACATTACCAAGTGGTCTGGGTCACATTGCAAAAAAAATCTGATCTGTGTTGTTCAGACTGTCATGAGAAGATCAGATACAGGTCGCATATAGGCAAAAAATCGGATTTAGGTCACTTCAGGCTGCAGTGCGAATGTAGCCTCCATCGCCCACTCCAGACTAGCCGGTAGCTTCTCCCTCTGGGACCAAGTGACTTCGATTTCTAAAAAGTAGCCAGTAGAAATACCTACGGCATGCAATATAATAACTGTTTATAACCCTTCAACAGAACCACACATCTACAGCTTTGGCTGTCTTTTCAAAGGGATCCACGACTAGCTGAATCTAAATATGCTGTCATTTTACCATAAGTTAAACATTTTTTGTGATATGTAAGCTTACCTAAAATCAAAATCAAACCTTAGATAATGAATGACTGTTTGAAGTGACAGTGAAGCATCTTTTAGTCCTGGTAACACATCAGGTTTCTGATGCTAATTATAAACAGCCTCAGCTCGTTGTAGCATAGCTCTCCATCTGGGTTAGCTTCTCCTAGCAGCAGCAAAGACTAGGGTTGCCAACCGTCCCTTGAAAAACGGAATTGTCCCGCATTTAGTGGAAAAAGAACGCACTGGGTGGAAAAAGTCAACGATAATGAATATAAAGCAAACTGCAAATATGCATCTAATTCAATGCAGATTTTAGTCAAATAGTTAAAAAAAATCATTTCACACAAAAAGGGGGGCTAAAAAAATCACCAAAACATATCTTCTTCACCTCTTGGGATTTCTACATTCTCATCCATATCATCACCCTTCTGTTCAAACAAAAAATGTTTAACGTTAGTCATTGCCGTTTAGGCTAAACAAAGCTAGCGCTACCGGACCTAGCGCAACAGGACCTAGCGCAAAAGGTCCTGGCACAACAGCACCTGGCGCAACAGCATCTGGCGCAACAGGACCTGGCGCAACAGCATCTGGTGCTACAGGACCTGGCGCAACAGCATCTAGCGCAACAGGACCTGGCGCAACAGGACCTAGCGCAACAGGTCCTGGTGCAACAGGACCTGGCGCAACAGCATCTAGCGCAACAGGTCCTGGCGCAACAGGACCTGGCGCAACAGCATCTAGCGCAACAGGTCCTGGCGCAACAGGACCTGGCACTACAGGACCTGGCGCAACAGCATCTGGCGCAACAGGACCTGGCGCAACAGCATCTGGTGCTACAGGACCTGGCGCAACAGCATCTAGCGCAACAGGACCTGGCGCAACAGGACCTAGCGCAACAGGTCCTGGTGCAACAGCATCTAGCGCAACAGGTCCTGGCGCAACAGGACCTGGCGCAACAGCATCTAGCGCAACAGGTCCTGGCGCAACAGGACCTGGCACTACAGGACCTGGCACTACAGGACCTGGCGCAACAGCATCTAGCGCAACAGGGCCTGGCGCAACAGGACCTAGCATATGTCATTTACCGAGAAGCACTGCAGTTCAGACAGCCGGCCGCTTCCCTGTGAAAATCTTTTTATATAATCTTAAAAAACTAAAGAACTTACAGTAATTTCTACGGTATTGTACTTACATCAAAAGTAAATATTTTTTAAAATAAAGTCTATCGTTTCAACTAATCGTGAATACCTGTGAGGTTTTGGATTTTAAGTTACGAACAAGAGCACGTCTTGCCTCCTTACTTTCCTTATCAAATAAACGCAGAGGGCAGATCTAAAGACCCTGTCTCCCTCTCTCTAGCTTTTGTTTTGAAAGAGGAAGAAACAGGTTGGATTTCTTATAGGAACAGCAACCAAAGATACTCAATACATTTATTTTAAAATATGGTGACAGATTAGTTTTGATTCATGTGCTTAATGTCCTTAAAGCATAGTTATGTAGAAACAACATAGACATAGCCTTCATAGAGGGAGTTTAAAAAAATTATAATTTAATGTGATGCAACCAATTAAAGCCCATCCACCTCTTGTGGTTTTGCCGAATTTATGAAAGAAATGACATTATTTGAATATTTCTAACCACTTAAAGCCAAGATTTGTTGTTTGAGGAAAAAAGGAATAATACTTGCACATTTTAAAGAATTCGCCAGAAACATGTTTTCCTGATTTTTGGTATTGACCTCCCTCTACATCTGCAGAATAATTAAAGCCATTAAACAACAAGCCAACATTTTATAGTGACGTGACCTGATTGGTATTCTTTCAGAGGGTGGATTTAAATCTATTTCCCAAGCGGAGGATGTTTTTAATCCCCCTCTCACTGCACATTAATGCACTATATACACTTTATCTTCTGAGACTGCTACAGTTTGTGTCCTGATAAATATTAAGATTATTACCAAGAACTTTATTATTTTTTGTGTGGTTTGAATTCATCTTTAACTTCCTGTGTTTCGCTTTCCGATTATCTGATGTTCTACCCATGCCGTCATGTCATGTAATTCCTGAGAGTATAAAATAAAAGTATGATAAACGGTGCCACTGCTGTTGTTTTTCTTTATTAAAGTACTTATAGCTTCTACTTTTGTTTATATAACAAATCACCAATTTTGCTTCATGGTTGGAGATTTTATCATCCAATTACAACAAAGCAGAGCGTAATTTGAACGGAAAAATAAGTGACTTAAAGGTTTTGTGTTTTTTTTACTCTTGGATTCCTTAAAGAAGAATCTAGTTAACCTGTCTGACCTGTTTGTGTAATTTAATCCTGGATAAATCCAGGTGTTATATGGAAGCTCTTTAAAGAACATTAGAGAACAAACATTAGGAATACCAAGGAACCCTGCAAACAGATTAGGAAGGACATTATTGAGACGCAGTTAGATTAGGTAAGAAAATATGTTAAAGGTATAGTGGAGGATGTTCTTTTTCTGGGTGGATCATCAAAATAAGTGGTCCTCCTAAATGTCAATCATTACGGTGATATGTTTACTACATGCTCGTATTTGCTCGTCCCATTTTCACTTACCGGTGGTGAGTCTGACATAATGGAAAAATTGCAAATCTTCTTTTTGAAAGTAATCTTCTATGAGCGATGCAAACAGAAACTTTTAAACAGTGTTCACGAGGAGAAATAGGCTCGTGCACGCTCTGACATGTTTAATAGTCGTTCTTTAGGTGTGCTTTTGGCAGCGCAGTGGTTAGCGACCCATGTGGAGAGGCCCAAGTCTTTTATGTGGCCAACCAGGGTTCGAATCCGGCCTTTCCTGTAGGCCTATTGTCCACAAAACAGCCACAAGTGCTGTAAAAACAAAACAAAAAATGTTTTGTTCCCTCTCGGGAGCGGGTACAGGGTTGTTCATGGGCTTTCTTTTTTAAAGTAGGAGTCTTTTCAAAAATTCACCAAAAAAATAAAAAATAATCCTCCACTATATCTTTAAGCTTAGAAGAGTGGTTTTCTAAGTGAGGACCACTAGAGCGAGCTACGGGTTCTCAGAAAAATAAGACAAAAACTTGCAAAAATTTTTTTTCATGTTTTTTCATTATCTCACATATTTCAACCAATATTATAAAACAGATTTTTTTCTTTTTTTTCACATCCTGTTTTTCAACTTTTTACAGGTCAGATTCCCACTTCTAGGGGCGGGTTTTTTTTTGATGTCGTGAGGAATTTAAAGACGCGTTTCTATTGGTCTGCTGGACCAATTTTATTGGTCAAGAGCGAATGTTTCTACTGGGCTTGAAGTGAAGAAATATCCATCTGTAAAATGTAATTTGTAAAGAATGAAATTCATAAAACCTATGAAACCCATAAAAATAAAAGACTTTTCAAAAAAGAAAACAAAAAATAAACATGAAGCTTTTTTAGTATAAAAAACTAGCAAACCTTTTTTATATATGTAATTTTCAAGTTTTCATTTCTATATTCCTATTTTAGTTTTTCAAATTCAAATGTATAAAATGCAACAAAAATGGAACAAATTCCACTCCATACTCGCCTGGCCCTGGTAGGGCCGATGCAAAAATGAACGGAGCTTAATTTAAAGCAATCAGATGCTGGTTTATGAAGAAGAATGGACCTGAAATGTCCTGGAAAGAAGCATCTTCTTAACCATCCTGCTCTATTCTGTGTTGTTCCGTCACAATACATCCCAACAAAACCAAGATGTGTCATTCTAACAAAATAAAATGTTTAAAAAAAGTTTACAACTTAAAGTTAAAAGAAAAAAAAGAGAGTCCAAAAGTTTGAAACAAATCTTTAATTCAGGGGTTTTACATAAAACAGTTCCCCAGGTTTTTAGCTGGAGATTAAAGTAAAGACATGACGCTGCTACAGTAATCAGAGATAAGAACAGAAAGTCCAGAAAATTAAAACTATTGTCATAATCAACGTTTTCAGGCTAAGTTTATCAAATAGAATCCACAGGTACGCTCTTGGAAATGGCTAGAAAAATCAGCTTTTATAGTAAAATAGAAAACTATATATAGGTACAGTATAAACAAACAATAATTTGGCCTTGATTAGGGCGGGGGGGTATTTACATGCAGAAAGAGGCTTCTGCCAGTGAACCAGAGAGGAATCACAGCCTGCAGCCATGTTGGAAAGATGTGAAGAAGGTCAGGTTTGGGCAACTTTATAAAACTACAGCAGCAGCAGCAGTCAGTTCCAGCTGGAACCGTTTGATTTCTCGCTCGGGGGAAGAAAAAAAAATGGTCTCAGGTTCTGGCTGTTGCTTTTGCTGCTCAAATTCCTTTTTTTCTATATTCAGCAGGTGGATTCACAGCAGAGGTTATTTTTAAATGATTAAAAATAGGTTTAAAGTACAGTAATTTATTTATAAAAGGCACTGGCAAGGAGACGAATGAAGCGGGGGGAAAAAGCTGTGATGGAAACAAGGTAGATGTGCTTTCATATCTGCAGCTTAAGGAGCACAGTTTATTCTATTATGTTAAGAAGATGTTACTGCCTCCATTTTTTTACTTGTTGGTCGTTTGGCTGTAATTATTACAGTCTGAGAGGAAACAGGACGGTGAAACCTGACGATAAAAGGGAATGAAAGTCCCTCATATTCAGTTAAACGCATAACTTGAAACGATAGTTAAAGTCTATGCCCCCCTATTGAAATGCAAGGTTTATTGTAAAACAAAACAAAAAAAACAAATAAAAATAAAAAATGACCGGATACAGTCAAATTAAATAACACCCCATCAAAACTGCTCTTTTAACAGATTTTTTAATATATAGATGCTTTAATATTAATTTTAATGAAAATGAAAAGGTTCAATTATCAAGAAAGTTTTTAAGTACGAATCCTTCAACTGTCTGAGAAAGAAGAAAGAAAGAAATCCCATACGAGCTGCGCAGCATGGAGGTGGACGCGTCATGGTCTGAGGAGTTCCCAAACTGGGGTTCAGCAGAGACTATGGGACCACCTGGAAGAAACGTCTCAAAGGTTCCCACTGGGAGGTAGGGTGTTTCTGCAGAAAATGTAATTATTTTTCCCTTTTTCAAATATTTAGAATTGAGTCAACATTTGATTTTATTCTGCTGAAAATGTTTAATAAAGAAGTAACTATCCGGACAACAGCATCCTGTTTTGTTTAACTGATTCAAAAATGTGAGACCGTATTATTGTATAAAATTAAAGAAAATCTGCCATACCCGGTTTTTAAGTTTTTACACCCTTAGTTGAAATACTTATTGAAAAATAAACATCCTTTGTCTGGATGCAAAGTTCAATGTGAAACTGCTTTGAGTAGCTTTACAGAACCTTGCAGTAAGGCTGAGGGAGGTTCTGGTCTAGACACGACAACAGCCTGCTCCGTTTTCCATATTTCTGATACCAGCAGCAGGGTTGGGGTTAAGTGAGGAAGATTAGCTTTGACTTATATCCACCAATCCGTATTTCAGTTGTTCATTCCTTTTTGAATGTTAAATTAACATAAAAATTGTTATTTATTATTTGTTTAGTAAAATAATATATGAAAACAGAGATAAGTTCCTTTTTCATGCTTTTTTTTTTCAAACTGTGTTTTGGGCTCTGAATAGTTTTATGAGCCAAAAATGGCAACAAAAAAAAAAAAAAAAAAAAAAGAAGAAGGGAGAGTTAAAAAGGTGCTTTAGTAAAGAACAGCAGTTAAAAGTTTTCAGAGGATCTTCAATCAGTTTAGAAATCATAGCAGCAACAGCTGCAGTGGCAGCTAATAAATAGGCAGCCTAATCGTGTAAAGTCACACTGACATTTTTCAAATTTTTATAGACAAGAAAAAATATTACTTTGTTTAACGTAAACACAAGCGGGTATAAAATGACTTACAAATTAATCCATCATGAGAATCATTGGGAACTCTGAAGCAGAAACAAATAAGATCAGAAAACAGCAAGTTGAGAACAACGCTGCGCTGAAAATATAATATAATATATAATAATAAAAATTATGAAAAGTAGAATTAAAAAACATTTTTGTTAACTGAATAAAAAATCAACCTAGCAGCTGAATAAAACTGTAATAATAGTTTACAAAATAATCAAAATTAACTGAATTTCTAACGGGAATGTGTTTGTTTCTTTATCATAATGCATTATGAAGCGTCTAGTTGCTGTTTTAACTTACGCCAGCAGATGGCAGTATAGCAATCAGGTCATTTTATTGCTGCAGCGTCTTTCCTCTGGGATTTTATTCCTATTATTTTCTCTCCTAGTACTTGAAGCATATAACATAAAACACTAAATCTATAACTGATAAAAAATAAAATAAAAATAAAATAAAAACTTCATTAAACTAGCTAACAAATAGTTAAAATTAAACCTTAAATAGAATAGTAAAAAAGAAGTCAAAACTAAATGAAAACAAAAACAAATACAATTTTTTAATTTATTGAACTTTGCTACTGAAGCTCATGAATAACTTATGCTGCAACATTTTCTCCTTCCTGATGAATTATTTCTTGATGCACCTGTGGCTGTCTTTGATGATCTGAATAAGGCTTTTTTTTTTATCCAAATAAAACCCTTATTGAACTGATTTGTTAGTGATTTTGGATTGAAAAGCAGTTTGCATCTGGCTTGCATGGGTCCAGAATCAGTACCTGCTGGATCCTGGACCCATGCAACCAGCTGCAAAGAGCCAAAAAAGAAAGAAAAAAAATTTCCTTTGCTTTGTTCTATATTTAATTAATTTTTAAAGAAGGAATTACGGAGAAACTACTCTTTGCTTTGCAATATCATTTTATGAAATGAATAAAAAACAAGACAGTTTCTTGTTTTTTCATTGGTTCAGTTTGAAAAACAAATGAACAAATGATAGACGGATTGGATCTAATATATGTTGGAGTTTATTCTGATGTTTAGCTGTTTGTATCAAAGCATATGAAGAACTATCCACCCATCCATCCTTTTTCTGTCCTCTTATCCCAAGCGGGGTGCATATGAAGAACTAATTGATTGAAAATAGTTTTTAAAACAATAGAAGCGACAGGAAGTTCGGATAAAATGTAGTTTAAAGAGTTTTTCCCATCATAACCGGACATTTTTTCTGCTGCTTTCATGACATAAACATAACCAAAACATAAACAAGTGGTGGTTTTAGAGGCAGTATCTAATAATGATCCTGTCCTTTCTAAGCTGACAGATCTGTTAAAGTATGCCAGGAAACAGCCTTTAAATAGCAAACAGCCTCCCAATGTGGAGCACCAGGAGCGTTTCAGCCTCCATGCTCTGTTTTAGAACTATAACGATTGGTTAAGTTGGGTAAAGAGCGTACAGGACATTAAAGCATGATGATGCTCATTTTCTGCAGCCATGAACTGACCACACGTTCCTTCACATGGAGTGAGACTTTGAGTGGGTCTACATGAGCGACTCCAGGCTCTCTGTGGTGTTGGACTGTCCCAGTGGTACAGACCCGTTCGTCTCTGGACTCTGCAGGGCTCTCTGGTCCTCCTGGCTGCTCACCAGGCTCAGCATGGCTCTATAGAGATACTGGTACTGCTCCTGTGGAGTGGACAGAGAGTTCATCACAGCAATTTTTGTATTAAATTATAAAAACAAGCAAATGTTTTAACATCAATTCTCCAATCAAAGACTTACAATGTCATTAAAAACCCCTGGTCTCATGAGGTTTGTCATCCGTGCCACCATGTAGACGTCCACCGCTCCCTCCTCCTCTAACTGGTTGAAAAGGGAGGTGAGAGCGCAGAAAAGCCCCGATGTAACTCCCCCCAAACTGCACAAAAATAACCCAAAACACTTAGCTCAGAGAAAGAAAGAAAAAAAAACAGTCTGAGGAATCCTGCAGGTTTTTTTACTCACGGATCGTGTACGACCACAGGTTCCCGTGTGTGTCTGCAGCGCTCTGTGACCACGCCGATGAGGTCAAAACTGTTCCTGATGGGACTGTCTGGATTAGGCCAGCAGGGGGGTCTGAACTGACGAACGAGCAAGATGCAATCATTCTGGAAGGAGACAAAGGTTCAGAATAAGCAGAAATATACACAACAAAACGAACAAATAAATACAAAAAAAAAAAAACTAAACGAAAAAAAAAATCTACCTTTTTCATATTTCTGTATTCATGCTGCTATAGGCTTAGACTGCTGGAGGGCATAGGGGCAACTTGTCATCATTCTATCTCTATTTTCTCGTTCTGCAGTATTATTTTATTTTATAAACACCTTTGTTTATTGATGTTGGAGCTGTTTCTCTGACTGTAACTAACTGTATTTACTCTCTTCATCCTCTGGACATGTTGGCCCGTCTGCCTGGCTGTGTGTTTCCTGGACGAGGCCGCCTGAGGAGCTGTTTGACAGTTGCCTTTTTTATCTCTGCTTCTTTTTCTATGTCTGCTTCTGTCTCCTTGAACCCCAGTCGGCCTCAGCAGATGGCCGCTCACACCGGGTCCGGTTCTGCTGAAAGTTTCTTACTGAAGAAAGATTTTTTTTTCCAAAACCCAGCTCCTCTTCCCATGCTTTTCTCAAAAATAAGGATTATATTCATGAAGGTAGTTTAAGAAACCCAAAAACCATCTTTTTTGATTCAGAAGAGCTCAAAAGAAGATTGTAAAAAGGTAAATCTTTAGGCAAGAACTCAAACTCAGGAATATATATAAAGAAAACTGTGTTGCGTGGGTCACCTGAGTAGACTGCATCGTAAAATCCTGCACAAGAAGTTTCTCATCGTTGGTCAGGTGGACAAGCTCCTCCCCCGTGTGCGACACGGTGAAACCGTCAAAGGTCATCGGCAGGTCTTTACTGGGCCAGTAGACGCTGCAATCCCTCTTTTCATTCTAAAAAAGTGAAAAAGCAAACAAACATGGGAGCAAATGTGGCTTCACTTCAACAGTATCCTGAAAGGAGGCGGTTCTACCTGACTGTGTGAGTCCTGTAGACAGACGACCCTGTTGGTGCTGTGCTCCCAGATCATTCTCCAGAAATCTTCCACTGTGCTGCTCAGAGGAGTCTGACTCACTATGAACTCTCTACAGCGGTGGTGTCCCTGTGGAAACAATGTTTGAATGTATTCAAAATGTTAAGCAGAAAAAAAGTCAAAGTTAAAGGGCCTATACCATGCTAATTCAACTTTTTAAAAGGCTTTTGTACTTTTTTATGTTATTCCTTCCTTATGTTTCTCTGTATTTATCCATTTCTCAGCAATTATCGAGACTATCTGCTGAAAATGAGTTGGAGAATATTCCTATTAAACAAAAGCCCCCCCAAGGAAGCAGCTAGCCTAACCACCTGCACTGTAAAAAAAAAAAAAAAAAAAAAAAAACACCCCTTTTTCTCCATCAGGGACAGCAGATAGGAGGGAAAGCAAGATGATGATCCTGGATAAAAGTTTTAGCAGATAATCTGCAATTTGATTTGAACTGAAGTTTGCAGAAAACCGCTTCATTATATATATATATATATATATATATATATATATATATATATATATATATATACAGGTGCTGGTCATAAAATTAGAATATCATGAAAAAGTAGATTGATTTCAGTAATTCCATTTAAAAAGTGAAACTTGTATATTATATTCATACATTACATACAAACTCATATATTTCAGATGTTTATTTTGTTTAATTTTGATGATTACAAATGACAACAAATGAAAATCTCAAATTCATCATATCAGAAAATTAGAATATTACTGAAGACCAATAAAAACAAAGGATTTATAGAAATGTTGGCCAACTGAAAAGTATGAACATGAAAAGTATGAGCATGTACAGCACTCAGTATTTAGTTGGGCCTCCTTTGGCCTGTATTACTGCAGCAATGCGGCGTGGCATGGAGTCGATCAGTCTGTGGCACTGCTCAGGTGTTATGATAGCCCAGGTTGCTCTAATAGTGGCTTTTAGCTCTTCTGAATTGTTGGGTCTGGTGTATTGCATCTTCTTCTTCACAATACCCCATAGATTCTCTATGGGGTTAAGGTCAGGAGAGTTTGCTGGCCAATTAAGAACAGGGATACCATGGTCCTTCAACCAGGTACTGGTAGCTTTGGCACTGTGTGCAGGTGCCAAGTCCTGTTGGAAAATGAAATCTGCATCTCCAAAAAGTTGGTCAGCTGCAGGAAGCATGAAGTGCTCTAAAACTTCCTGGTATGTGGCTGCGTTGACCCTGGACCTCAGAAAACACAATGGACCAACACCAGCAGATGACATGGCACCCCAAACCATCACTGACTGTGGAAACTTTACACTGGACTTCAAGCAACGTGGATGAAGTGCCTCTCTTCTTTTCCTCCAGACTCTGGGACCTTGATTTCCAAAGGAAATGCAAAATTTACTTTCATCAGAGAACATGACTTTGGACCACTCACCAGCAGTCCAGTCCTGTTTCTCTTTAGACGCTTCTGACGCTGTCTGTGGTTCAAGAGTGGCTTGACACAAGGAATGCGACAGCAGAAACCCATGTCTTTCATACGTCTGTGTGTGGTGGTTCTTGAAGCACTCACTCCAGCTGCAGTCCACTCTTTGTGAATCTCCTCCACATTTTTGAAGGGGTTTTGTTTCACAATCCTCTCCAGGGTGCGGTTATCTCTCTTGCTTGTACACTTTTTTCGACCACATCTTTTCCTTCCCTTCGCCTCTCTATTAATGTGCTTGGACACTGAGCTCTGTGAACAGCCAGCCTCTTTAGCGATGACCTTTTGTGTCTTGCCCTCCTTGTGCAAGGTGTCGATGGTCGTCTTTTGGACAACTGTCAAGTCAGCAGTCTTCCCCATGATTGTGTAGCCTATAGAACTAGACTGAAAGACCATTTAAAGGCTTTTGCAGGTGGTTTGAGTTAATTAGCTGATTAGAGTGTGGCACCAGGGGCCATCAATTTTGAACCTTTTCACAATATTCAAATTTTCTGATATGATGAATTTGAGATTTTCATTTGTTGTCATTTGTAATCATCAAAATTAAACAAAATAAACATCTGAAATATATGAGTTTGTATGTAATGTATGAATATAATATACAAGTTTCACTTTTTAAATGGAATTACTGAAATCAATCTACTTTTTCATGATATTCTAATTTTATGACCAGCACCTGTATATATATATATATATATATATATATATATATATATATATGTACACTCACCGGCCACTTTATTAGGTACCCGATGCTAGTATCGGTTGGACCCCCTTTTGCCTTCAGAACTGCCTCAATTCTTCGTGGCATAGATTCAACAAGGTGCCGGAAGCATTCCTCAGGGAGTTTGGTCCATATTGACATGATGGCATCACACAGTTGCAGCAGATTTGTCGGCTGCACATCCATGATGCGAATCTCCCGTTCCACCACATCCCAAAGATGCTCTATTGGATTGAAATCTGGTGACTGTGGAGGCCATTTGAGTACAGTGAACTCATTGTCATGTTCAAGAAACCAGTCTGAGATGATTCCAGCTTTATGACATGGCGCATTATCCTGCTGAAAGTAGCCATCAGAAGTTGGGTACATTGTGGTCATAAAGGGATGGGCATGGTCAGCAACAATACTCAGGTAGGCTGTGGCGTAGCAACAATGCTCAATTGGTACCAAGGGGCCCAAAGAGTGCCAAGAAAATATTCCCCACACCATGATACCACCACCACCAGCCTGAACCGTTGATACAAGGCAGGATGGATCCATGCTTTCATGTTGTAGACGCCAAATTCTGACCCTACCATCCGAATGTCGCAGCAGAAATCGAGACTCATCAGACCAGGCAACGTTTTTCCAATCTTCTATTGTCCAATTTCCATGAGCTTGTGCAAATTGTAGCCTCAGTTTCCTGTTCTTAGCTGAAAGGAGTGGCACCCGGTGTGGTCTTCTGCTGCTGTAGCCCATCTGCCTCAAAGTTCGACGTACTGTGCGTTCAGAGATGCTCTTCTGCCCACCTTGGTTGTAACGGGTGGTTATTTGAGTCACTGTTGCCCATCTACCAGCTCGAACCAGTCTGGCCATTCTCCTCTGACCTCTGGCTTCAACAAGGCATTTCCGCCCACAGAACTGCCGCTCACTGGATGTTTTTTCTTTTTCGGACCATTCTCTGTAAACCCTAGGGATGATTGTGCGTGAAAATCCCAGTAGATCAGCAGTTTCTGAAATACTCAGACCAGCCCTTCTGGCACCAACAATCATGTCACGTTCAAAGTCACTCAAATTACCTTTCTTCCCCATACTGATGCTCGGTTTGAACTGCAGGAGATTGTCTTGACCATGTCTACATGCCTAAATGCACTGAGTTGCCACCATGTGATTGGTTGCTTAGAAATTAAGTGTTAACGAGCAGTTGGACAGGTGTACCTAATAAAGTGGCCGGTGAGTGTATATATATATATATATATATATATATATATATATATATATATATATATATATATATATATAAACAAATAGGTGACTTTAAAAGGCTTTAAAAAAGCAGGACATTAAAGTTAAAGGAAATAGATTCGATATCTCGGAGTAGTGATGGGTTAATGTGACATCTTGAAGTGTTGATGCTGTCTCACAGAATACTGACACCTGCTGGACACTTAAAGACATTGCAGGCAGCTTATTTGCAAGACTAAATTGAAGTGATTTGATAACCTAGTACAATAATTGAAATTATTGTAGGTTATATCGTATTATTTCATATATATGTTTAATTTGAAAATATTTTTGATATTTTTAGATGCAGCCAATAAATAATGTAAACATATAATGTGAAAATTTAGGGGGAAATGTGAATTTTTACAACAATAAGTACAGGAAAATCAGTAAATAAACTAAGAGCCAATTTGAAATTAACTTCAGTTCACATAAGTTGAGTGATAACTGAGAGAAAAAGAATTAGCACAACGAAAATGTTTTAATAAAAACGCCGCGGCTGACACGTTCTTATTCCTTTTAGGCTGCTCCAAAATTCTTGATCATTTTAATTATAAACCACAAAAATATGACTTTTTTTTCAGCAGAATTATGTTGACAGATACCTTTTTATACACAGTTAAGTGAGTCGGTCAGTTAGACACACTACACTCATTGTACACATTGCGTATACAAAATGACAATAAAAGTTGTCTAACGGTCAGTGTTCAGCTGTATTTGTACTCTGAATAAATTATTAACAGTTATTAGCAATTATCAGCTGAATAATGAAGGCAATTGGTTGCAGGCAAAAAAAAGGGGTCTAAATAAATTTTTACACCACTTTTTGAAAACTTTTGTCCTCCACTGTAGTTAATTCAGACTGAAAGAGAAACCAAACTTCAAAGTAAGTAACAGGAAGGCTGAAACATGGGAAAAGTTTAATGGACTGCACTGCATTAAAGCTGTCCGTCAAACAAAAGAAGGAAATCTTTTCTGTTGCTAAAATAATTATCAGCCTTAAATCCAATACATCCCATTGCTTCATACTCAGCTGGTTTCGCACCTCTATATAAATACTACATAAAGTGGGTTTAACATATCTGTAAAAAGCAACTCACCATAACATAGGAGGCGTTGATGTAGCCGGTGGAGTTGGTGTCTGAAGCCGTCAGAGAAACCCTCGATCTCTCCACTGCAAAGAAGCAGAGAGACATCAAGATCAAAATGAGAGTAAACTCTTCTGTTTCTTCATGATAAAAATATAAAAGACTAATTTTTAGGGTTAATGTTTAACCTCTTCAACCACTGTAATAGTTGCAAACTCTATTCTGGAGATAGTTTATTTAAAAATGTATGTTAAGTGAATTTTATTTACTGTTGTAGCAACAAAGAAACATGCTTTGCAGACAGAAATAGATAAAAACATGCAACCCAAAAATGACATCAGAATTGGATTTGAAAGTAGGTTTATTTTCTCAATTTAAGTTATTCCAGATTATTTTTTTACATACTGGTAGTTTTTTTTTCTCCAGATTTTATTTTTCAAGATGTATTTTTTTCAGATTTTATATTATTTTTCATGTATATTGTCTTAGATTGAGTTTTTTCAAATTGCATCATTTTTAAATTGCATTACAATCAAATGTTGTTAACGTCAGCAGACCAATAGAAATGCTTCTTCATTCCTCCCTCCAGAATGTGAGCTGGAAAATGCTATTTCAAAAGAATTCAATCCATATTCAAAACTCAATCTTAAAAAGTTACTTTTTTTTAATGTAAAATCTGTAAAGAAATTATAAATGAATAAAATGTGAAAAAGAAATTTAAAATAAAAAGTTAGTAAGGACACAAAAGTGTGCAAAAATTTCAACCTGGCATGAAATTAAATTGTGTTCTACTTGTCAGAGGCTGGTGACACCGTAAAAAATATTTTAGTAACGAAATCAGAAGATTCTTTTGGAGTTATTCTTTCTGTAGAAAAATAGTGACCTGGAATATTTGGGGTTATATGGAGTGAATTTTGTTTCATTATTTTTGCATGCAAACAGCTCATTATGTAAATGTCCATAACACAAAATGCAATCGGGAACTGAAACTTTGAAAGAAAAGAAGAAAAAAATTACAACTAAAAGTTTTAAGAGCAATTTTGCTTTTTTTTCTCGATTTTATCTTATATATTTCATATATCCTTTTTTTTTTCTTGTTCACATTTTTTTTTTTTTAGATTCTATATTGTAAAATTTTTTCCCCCTAATTTCTCTTCAGATTCACTTTTATAGATCATATTCTCCTTCCTTTCCAGCTGAATAGAAAAATCTTGTCTTCCAATTTGTTTGTTTATTTTTGTTTTTTTATTTCAATATTAAATGTGAAAAATAACATTTGAAAATACAAAATCTGTATAAAGAATTTAGAAAAATAAAAGCTGAAAACAAACAGCAATGTGGCTATAAAAAACTTTTTTTATCAAGATGTTTTATTTGTAAATTGAGTTTTTTTTTTTTTTTCCATTTACAAAGCTATTTCTTTTCTTGTAAAAAAAATGGACTAAAGTTCCCTCCATAGAGGAATGCCTGCAGTCAGTCAGTTCTCTGCTGTTGTTTACCAGGCATCAGCGCTCTCGCTCTGTTTCTCTCAGCGTTGCCGTCCTTCAGGGCAGTGCTGTAGTCTGCATGCTTAGCCTGACGCTGACTAATCAGCTGAGACAAAAAAAAAAGCAACTTTAAAAACATTCACTTCAGAACCTGATCAGATTAAAGAATAAGAACCAAAAGGAGGCTCCACCTTAAACTGTTTGTCCATGCGTGTTCTCCCTGTGGCGCTTGGAATGAGGAGATTAGAGACGTAACCGTGGAGAAGGTCCGCGGTGACTGATGTATCCCGGCTGAGGATGGCCTCCACCAGAGCATCATGGATGAAAACGTACTGCTCCTGGAAAATAAGAACAAACAATCCAACTCTGCATTACAAAAAAAAAAAAAAAAAAAAGTGCTGCAGTTCATATCTTCCAAGATCAAGATTCCAAAATAACTATTTGGACATTTTATTCCAATTTGGTTTAATAGCTCTCATATATATATATATATATAATTTGCATTTTCCTATTCTCTAGCTTTTTCTCCGCCTCAGGCTTCTTTTCCGAACATACGGCTTTATGATCAACCGGAAGCAGTTCAGGACAAACAATATAATACATCTGACAAAATTGTTTTTATAAAAACTTTTTAAAATATATTTTTAAAAGCTTTTTAAATGCCATGAAAATCACATCTAATGAATTGTAATGCCAATTAAGGCCTTAATTTAAAATATAATAATTTTATGACTTAATGATTTTTAATGACCCGTGGAAAGCCTGTCAAAGATTGCTTTCATTTCCACGGTTTAGTCATTAGAATAACATTTGCATATTGATGAAGAAATGCATGCAAACACACACATGCAAATCTTCTGCAGATCAGGCCCCATGTGTAAAACATACTTTCACCTCAAAAAACTGACCGATCATCTCAAATATTGCAAAACTGGTCCAATAACATCACTTAACCTCACACTAAACCACTCTAACCTCAGCATGATGGATGTTTGAAACTGTGAGTAAAACTGAAGGCCTGCTGCACGTTGCAGCATTTGACACCATAGACCATGAAATACTTTTATTTTAACAGCATTGTGTTGTTCCCCAAATTATGGAGTCCCTCAGGGTTCCATCCTAGGCCCTGTTCTTTTTATATTGTACCTGTTGCCTCTTGGACACATTTTAAAGAATTTTAACTTCTTTCACCTCTTCACAGAAGAAGCACAAATATATACGCCCCTGAAGAAGTTAATCAGTAAGAATGATTCCCTACAGCAGGGGTGGGCAACTCCAGTCCTGGTGGGCCTGCAACTTTTAGATATATCCTTGTCTTAGCACACCTGAATCAAGTAAATAGATAATTAAAATGACTCTGGAGAAATTGATTGCATACAAGGGAGGTAATTCAACCATTTGATTCAGGTGTGTTGCAGGAAACCGGCCTTCAGGGACTGGAGTTGCCCACCCGTGCCCTACAGTCGTTAACCAACTGTTTTAAGGGCATTACATCATCGATGGACCAACACTTTCTGCACTTTATTCAAAATAAAACTCAAGTTATAATGTTTGAACTAAAGAACCTTTATACTGAACCTAATGATTTTAGCCTCTTTTTATCAACCTACTGTTTGAAATATTAGTGCCATTTTTGCAGCAGCACCTAGAGCAGGGGTCTTTAAAGTTTTCCAGGCCAAGGACCCCCAAATTGATGGCGAGATGGAGCGGGGACCTCCTAATTATATATATTGTATGAAATTGTGTTCTATCCAACTGGTCCTATAGTCACTCTATTACAGATGGAGTAATGTAACAAAAGTAATTTCTCCCTGGGATTATTAAAGTATTTCTGATTCTGATTCCTGGTTGATGGGACAGGTGTTGTGAATGAAACGGTGCCCAGATTGAAAGAGCTCCTTTGTGTCGCTGAATGTGAGCATTGATGACTGAAAGACATCGAATGCCTCCATTTATCTGTTTAATACAGTGTGTTGAATTCATGTTAATGTGGATTTAAAGACATTTCAGTTAGTGGAAAAAATTGCAGGGGGGGAAATAAAATAAAAAAGTTTTATCAACCAAAACTTTTGCGACCCCAATGCAGTACCACTGTGGACCCCCTGTTGAAGACCTCGGACCTAGAGCCAAAAGTGAAATATGGCATATGTTAGTTGGAAACTGGTTTATGCCAGTTGTTTACCAGCATAAACCAGTTCCCAACTGGCATATCCCATTTTTCAAAACTGGCCTGCCAGAAACCACTTCTAGCTCTCGCTGTCACTCCATTTTTTATTTTTGTTTGATGCTAGATGAGAATCTTAACCTTCTAACAATGGTAAAATCTCGCTTCAACACCAAAAACTTTGAGAAAATCATCTTTGCATTCGTTACCACACTCTTTTTCTGATTTTTGTTTTATCTTTATGTTTTATCCAAATGTGCTCAATCGATTGATGCTTTATGAAAACTATACATAACTTTGGGGCCGCTGCAAGCTGTTTTCAAGTGTTTTCAAATCGACATAAAAATTTGATTAATCTGTTTTATTAGGGCACTCATACACCTTTGAAATTTAATTTCCACATAGTCACAGTGGGGACATGGAATCAGTAATCTGACATCGTTCCACACCCTTGATACCAGTGTGCAAAAGCGGCTAAAGCTGAGGGTTTGATTCCCTGAAAAGAATGCCTGTTTCTCCTTTACCTCCGTCTGAACCAGGAAGTTCCTCTGTGTCCGGACGTGTTTCAGGAAGCCCAACACATTCACAGTTCCCTGATCCTGAATTTGCTGCATCATGCTGTCAATCACAATGTAGGTTCCTGTTCTTCCCACACCAGCGCTGCAACAGACGGATAGGAAGATGATGCCAGAGTCACAGCTGTGTTGTCTTTTATGTATTGTTTTCAGTTCTACCTGCAATGCACCAGGACGGGGCCCATCTCCTGCGTTCGGGCCTGAGATGACGCTCTGATGAAGGACAGCACAGGTAGGGTGTACTCTGGGACGCCCATGTCTGGCCACTGGGTGTAGTGGTAATGCAGGACTGTGTGTTCAACTTTCTTTTGTGGGACCTGAAGAAGCAACCGATATGAACTTAACCCGAAACTAAAACATTGCAGAGCTTGTTTTTTAGGCGTGTATATAAAGTACCTTATTCGCTGTGTCCCTGACTGAGAACGTCCGCTGTGTGTAGTAAGCTAGAGTCTTGGTGCTTCTCAGAGTCACTTGGTAGGAACCGTATTCCTCTTGGTTCTCTTCTGGCCAATACTGTTCGCATTTTGTCTGCAGAGATTTATTTTAATTCTAATTAAAAAATCCAAAGTCAGACGGAATCTTTGTGTTTGTGTTGATCTTACACGTCCTTTCTCCTTCAGATTGGTGATCATGACAATAACGCCAACATTCTGCTGCCAGATCATCCTCCAGAAATCCTCTCTGCTTGCTTTCAGAGGGCCCTGAGCTGCGATGTATGCCCTCGTTCGCTCATAACCCTAAAAAAAAACAACAAAAAAAAACAGACCTTTTCCAGCTTAACATTTAAAAGCAAAAGAACAGTTTTCTTTCTGGATCTTTTATAGTAGATACTCAAAAAAGAATCTGAATATTCCTCTTAGCAAGATGCTCTGCAAAAAATAGTCTTCTTTTAAGCATTTTATGTTTTATTTTGTTTTCTCTAACACCATGGGAATGGTTGGAAATTTTAAATGTTACAAAAGTTATAAAAACACAGTGTCCACAAATGCCGAAATGAAAAAGAAGAAAACTCACGTCAACGTAGTTAGCGTTAATGTAATCCCCACACTTTCCATCTTTATCCAAACTGTTGGAGAGCTTCACTCTGCTGTGGTCGTCTGGAAAAGGAGAAACAGGCCATGAAGGCTAAAGCATGACCCGTATGTCCAGTGATGACACTGAGCAGACACATACAGGCCAGTATGTTAATGTAGCGGTTCTTGCTTTTGTTGTCGGGGTGATTTGAGCTGTCCGCAGTGATGCCCATGTCGACTGTACACGCCTGCACCTCCTGAAGCACAACAGAGGGGGGAAAAAAAAAATAACGGGTGATGAGAACAGACTAGAGATGGTGCAGCGCACCCAGAGTGAGCCAGCTCTGAGAGAAAAACCCCTCTGCACCAGAGGGATGGAGGGTGTCTTACCTCATACGACTCTTTCACAATCTAATGGAGGGTGGATGCGGAAAGCACAACGATGGTGGTGGAGATGGTGAGAGGAGAGTGGGACAGAGGGACAAGACCACAGAGAGGGAGTCAGTGCAGGTCCAGGAATTTAGGGTTCAGATTGTCAGAGTGGGGGCTCTGAGTGGGCAGTGATGTCGTAATCTACGAGGCGGGTGGAACGAGCTGGGACCTCGTGATAACGTGGGAGGTGTAGATGCAGAAACAGTGGAACAATAATGGGAGGGGAACATGGGAGACTGAAACAATGCCTGGAGATCATCGAGCTTAAACCTTTTCACAGTATGTCTTAAGATCATTTGCGTGATGATTGGGAAGGAAAAAGGATGCAAAAAGGTGGTATTAACATTCCCAGCATGATGGTGCCACCACCGTGCTTTAAAGATAAGAATTGGGATTTGGTTTAAGGCCTGGTTTAAACAGTCGTAAGTTCTGATCAAGAGAAGTTACTACATTGGTTATTGCATTGGATTTTACAAAAGTAGTAGCATCACAGTAAAGGGAGCTGAATGGAAATGTAAGCCTTTTTTGTTCTATGAATTCTTTCCAATTCAATATTTACTTTCTGCAACATAAAACCCAAATACAAGACAGAAGGATGTGGCCGTGAAATGTGTTGAAGGTTTTGTAAGGCATTGAACACATCATATCTGGATGTTTGTAAGAGGTTCATGTGTGAGAAATTAACCATGCTAGCATGGCGATATAAACGCCATGTGGAGTTTTGTCTATTTCCAGGGGCTGTACTCTGCTCCACATTAAGCTCTGTACTCTTTCTGTCTGAGCTTCTCTGTACTCTTTCTGTCTGAGCTTCTCTGCTCCCCCCTCCCTGTTCTTCCCAACTCCTTCTAGTTGCCCTGGTCTATTATCCATTTCCAAAGGCTGAAATGCAGACAACTCCAAGTCTGGTCACTTAAACGACCACCTTAAATTGCCAAATCAGATCACCTAAAACTACAGTGAGGGAAAAAATGGGATTTTGAGTGGATGTTATTTAACAATGTTTTTATTTATAAACTGATTAGGTTAATTAACGATTGATTCTAAATTATCCTAAATTAATTCATTTGTTTTGAAACTACATTACCCATGATTCTCTCAGGGCAACTTTCATTCCATATATTCCAAGATTTCATTCAATATTCTCAGGAAATCATTAAAAATATTCAAGTTTCGTTCAATATATTCTGTATATATATATATATATATATTCTGTATATATATATATATATATATATACACACACACACACACACACACATATATAAAACCTATACTTAAAGTTAGATTTATAAATATACATATATATGTAAATTTAAATGTGTACATATATATTTATATAATGTATACATATGTTTATATGTATCAAATACATTTATATGTATTACATTTTAATTACAACTTTGCAATATAAAATAGATTGTGTTTTATATATATATATATATATATATATATATATATATATATATATATATATATATATATATAATAACAAAATGTAATTAGTTGTTTATATAACAATGTAAATTTACTAAAAGTATTTCTTCCTAGATTAATCGAAGAAACATATTAATCGATTACTGAAATCATTGAAGTCAGTTGAACATTGGTTGAAAGACTTACAGCCGGCCGCAGGCCGTACGCATCACCTTACACTGCATCAGATCTGGTCTGGAGGGCAGCAAGCTCTGAGATTGCTGAACCTGCCATCCAGTTTTTTTTGTCTTTCATTTAAAAAACGAGTTAAATGAAATTCCAGAGCCCGTTATGTTAAACTTGAAACACGGAGGTCCATTATGGAGGGATGAAAAATCATCCGCTGTACGTTCTTTCCTAGGCCAGAGGAAACCAACGCACCTCAAACTCCTTGGAGAAGGTGTTGGTGCTGTGGAGCTCCAGGACATGCTTGACAAACTGCTTTATAGTCAGCGGCTCGTGGCAATCTGTAAAACAAGGTTCAGAGTTCATCTCTCTGCTTAACAAGGCCACAACGTATAGTTTTAATATCAAAAGAGTGAGAAAACCTCAGGTTGGGGTACCTGCGGCAAGCAGCAGGGGCGTGGAGGGAACAGAGAGGACTTTAGGTGATGCGGGGTCATCCGGGTAGAAGTTAGCAGTCTGGAAACAGTTTCTGTAACCAGAAACATTAAATGTTACATAAACAGATGGTTTACCATGATGAAGAACTGATAGAGGTGTGTCTGTAGGTGTGTGTACCTCCAGTAGATGAGTATACCCACTAGTACCAGCAGACAAAGAGCGGTGAGAGTGGAGACAACAGCCAGAGGGACCACCGTCCTTTTGTCCTTCTCCACACCTTCGACCAACCCGATCCGGGACTCATGGCTGCTGTTGCTGCCCTCTGAAAGAGAAGAACGGGCTACGGCTCTCAGGTTGCACATTAGATGGGTTTAGAACTACGTCCAAGCAGAGGAAAAGTCAGAATATCGTCTGCATAAAAAGTTATGTAACTTTGTAGATGCTTCAGGCTCATCAGATATTTTTCCCTTTTTATTATCTTTTATTGCACGAATTTATTTGTTCAGGATTTCATAAATGATGGCACATTCCATTTTTACTCAGATATCTGACTTTTGGAGTCTAAAAAATGTGCCTTGGGCAGAAGTGATATTCATAACCTCCAGAGGAATATCTCAGTCTGTTGTGACTGACGCCTTAAGCCCTTCCTGGTTGCAAATTAAACTGATTGGTGACTTGAAATGCTTAAAGGGGATCATCAGCTGACAAGCCCTTCAAAGACATTCCTCCAAAAAGTGAAAAGCTCAAACATTGTGTCCCGTTTACCTTCGGTCTGTTCCTGTTTTCCTTTGGGGTTGTCAGTGAATCCGAGCTCCGACACGGAGCTCCTTGCAGCATGAAGCGACCCAGCTGTGTTTGAGAAAGCGTCTTCACTAACATAACCAGATCCTCCTTCACGGTCCTCTTCATGACCGCCAACGTAAGGATTCTCATCGCTGGTCATAAATCGTGCTTGGTCTGGTGTAGGTGCAGTTTCGCTGTAGATTGTTAGCTGGAGTTTTCCATTTCTCTGAGACGTTCGTTTGTTTTTAGGTCGAGCTTTGAAGGGTTCCTGATCACCACCAACCTGCTCTAGATTTACGTTTCCAATAACAGCTGCTTGTTCTCCAGAACCACTGCCATCTTCAGCCCCACTCCCACCCTCTACCTTGATTTCCCGCTCATCTTTGGCCTTGCCTTCATTTTCTTCAATACTTATCTCATTTTTCTTCTCTTTACACCTTTTACGACTGATCCCACCTTCATCTCTTGCAGCAGATATCGTCCTTTCTGGCACTATGCTCTTTCCTGGAGTTTCATTCGTGCTTAAGCTAAAAGCTGAACTTATAAATGTGGAAAAAGTATCAGATTCTCCGCTGCTGTCATCACCAGAGCCTGATCCACTCTCCTCTGCTAAAACCAAACCATTTATTTCAAGTAAAGACATGTTAAAATTACCATAAACATCACCTCCATCTGTTTCTGCACCGGATCCATCTCCATTCTTATCTAACTGCCCTAAGAATTCAGCAATTTCTTGTTGCTTGCTGTCAATCTGAGAGCTGTTTAAACTGTTTTCCTCAAGCTGGTTTGCTTTCGATAGCTGGGCAATAGCTGATACATTATTAGGGAGTAAAAAACCAGAGTTAGTGGTATTAAGAGGATCGTCATAAGTCGAGCTAGTAAAGATCTGTTGTTTTTCTCCATCCTGGGGCGAAGGGTTTAATGAGTTCTTCTCAGAGAACATGAGATGGGAAGTGTTGGTAGATTGAGGGAGAGTTTTCAGGGGTAAAGGTGCTGAACTGAATCCATCATGGACAGAGAGCATGGCTTTTATGGTCGTCTCTGTAAGATGGCTGGAGGAGTCTGAAGCAGCTGTTGAATCCTCAGACCTGGATATTGGGGTATTTGCTGCAAGAAAAGCCAAAACAGGAGTGTCCTTCCTTTAATGATACTTATTGAACAGTTTTAACGAAAACTAGAACTGCCCGATTATTAATATTCCCTCTAGAAGCAAGCCAAGAAATTGCAGCTTTGCTGATTTAAAAGAAGGTCAAGATAGCAGAAAGAAACCCACTAGAGGGCACCGCTGAGCCACAGAATAGATGCTAGAAAGAACAAGTCCCCAGAAATAGATGCTAATCACCAAGCTTGAGTGAGTTCAAGTAGATTGTTATCAGGGAGAAAACTCTGACCTCTGCGAGAAACGTGCAGGAAGATTGAACAAAGAGTCAAGCAGATTTGAATTCAGAGCCATGTTGGAGACTGAGGAAGCCCCTGATTATTACTCCAATCACAATCAGCATCTTATGACCACGACTGGAATCCATCCCACCGTGTCCCTCCGCAAAATGGCCCACTGATGAGAGACAGCACTGATTAAATGCCCCAATAAAAGAAGGAATGAAAGCACCCATTGCAATTACACCCAGCTGTATACTCTACACATCAGGAAAGCCCTGCTGTTGATTAAAATCCCCAAAATGAGAAATCAGTTTTCAGGCTTTTAAATCAACGTTTAATGAAATCTGTGATTTTGTTTCCCCCAGCGTAGAGCGTTCTTAGTGTGTTGTCTTACCATTGAACAGGGGCTGAGTGGTGTGCATCAGCCCTCTGAGCAAAGACGAGGTGGTGAAAGATTTATAGAGTGAGTCGGACAGGGTGTTTCCTGCTGTCGCTACATTCTCCGTTATCCATTCCGAGTTGGAGGTGGCTGAAAATGAGCTGATGGGTTTTTGAAGAGGTTTGTTTACACCAGATCCTCGATCTTCAGGGTTTATTCGGGAGTCTCTGTGCACTTCAGTACCTGGGAATGAAACATGCAGATGATGTAGAGGCTGGTGAGACCTGGACACATTACCAACACAAAACTCACCCACCCATAAAGGATCTGGAACCTAAACGACCCACTGACCTAAAAATACATGTTTCTGAACTGTGGGAGAAAACATATATCCAGAGAGAAGCCATGCAGGCAGAACATAAAAACTATAGAAAGGTGCTAGCAAGGATTTATGGAGTGAAACTTGCTCCATAAATTATTACATACTGTTTAATAAACGATAAGTGTTTTTAATTAAGAGTAATTTTCATTTGAATGTACTTTACTGGAGACATCCATGTTTGTCAGAGAACACTACTGCCCCCTACCGGTTTGTGACGTCACGGTGCGGTATCGGCTGTTGATCAAGTCCCAGTGCTGTATCTGGTGTTTGTCACAACGCACTATTATCAAAGTCATCTTGAAGAAATACTTCTTCCAAATGTTGGCTACATATTACGTGTATTACTCTGGCCAGATGTTCGACGGCAAATCCTCCGACTTCAAACTAGCAATCCAACGACGAATACGTGGATCATGAAACATGATCACTTTTATCTGACGTATTCCAACATCCAACTGCCATGCACGTTGAAATTGTGAGTTTAACTATAGCTGTCGTGAATTTCAATGGTGAAGTGCTCTCGAAATCTTGAATAATCTTTGTTGATTGCAAATGTGTCTAGTAGTTCCCATTGATTTTGCTTGTAAAGCGGGAAGAATGGCGCTAGGCTTACCGCACCGTGACATCACTGCCAGAAGATGTCAGGAGTGAGATGTTATATTTGGGCAAAATTGGCCGCTTACAGACTCGGTGATCGCAACCAAAAATTTTATTTTTTTACCGATTAACGCTAAATTAATCTAATCACCGCAAACGTATCAGTTTTAGGTATAAATAATGATCCATTGATTATTCCTTGCTGACCGGGCTTCTCCTTTAACAGAGCTTATGCGACTTTAACCTGCAGTTTTATTGGGAATGCTTGTATGTCATAACATTGGCATCATAACCAACATGTTATATTTAAATGTTTTCAACCTGTCAAAATTTCAGTGAAAATAATACTGTTACTCCACACAGCTTTAGACTATAGATATTTTGATGAAAAAGTAGCTTTGGCCAGAATCAAATTTTGTCTGCCTTCTCTCTACTATCTTGGAACTGGTTAAATAATCCATCAATAATGATCCATTGTCTACCCTTAACCCTAAAGTGACCAGTTTCTAACTCTTCCTCTAAAAAAGTTATAAAATATGAGAGAACAGCAGCGGAAGCCAAAATAAAGCCTCACCGGGCACCACGGGAACAGATACTGTAGGAGGGAAGTTGGTGATTTCCAGTGGAGAGCTGGTGACTGTGTCTTCATAGAAGATATCTGTGACCTGGGTGTCCCTCATTGGAGGGGTGGACAGGTCAAACTTAGAGGGGGTATTTTCACCTTCTTTTTCTGACGCGTCTTGATCTGTTGGCTGTGGTGGATACAGACCCACATATGGTGAAAATGGTATATTATTAGAACACATTATGGGTAATCTCAACATTTAGAACAAAGAATGATCAGAAAATGAACATACCTGAGGTGGAACCGACAATGACGCCTCTTCTGTCATATGCCGACGATTCGGTGGTGCCATCGTTGTCCGAGCAACCGGAAACAGAAGTCCTGGCTCCTCGGTTATCCTGTTAACCCAAATCGCACTGGTACTGTCAAAGTTTGGACTTGTAAAAGACGGGTTTGCCGGGATCAGCTGATCATCCTCTATCCAGTTCTGACTGCGACCTGGAGGGGTCATCCTGTTTGGACTCTTGGTTCTCTCTCCTACTTTCTCATCCGGTTCAGCCTTTTGTAAATCCTCAGATCCAGATGGGGTCTTTGGGGTTAATTGTTCACCAGTCTGGACTGGAAAGTGCTGGTTTGCTTCTGTTTGATCCGTGGGCTGTCTTTGGTGTTGGGTAGGTTGGATCTGGTAAACTCTTGTCTGATCAGCTGGGATTTCCTCCACTGGACTATCATCTTCAGAAGCCAAATCCAGGTTATTCTGGGTCTCTGGCTTCTTCAATATAGCTACATCTAAAGCCTGCAGAGAAGGAAACAGTTTACTGAACCATCCTTTGAAACCCGACTTAAGCATCAGCCAACATAATGACACTCATTAGCATAGTAATTAAACTGCGGATGAGACTGAATGAAGTGCAGACATGAACAGATACATGAATTCAACCCATTGCATTGAGTTTGGCAGAGTGTCCTACCTCCCTGTGACTTTCAGCTTCCTTTGCTACAGTGTCAGGGGGCTGATCGCTCTCTGGAACGACAAACAATGAGAAAAAACTCCTGAATGTTGGTAGAGCAACAGGTGAAAGCAGCTCTTAGAAAGTCAGCTCATACCAGGGTCTTCTAACGGCATGTCGACTATAATCTGATCGCTCCATCGTCCTTTGAGGCCATTGGTGCAGATAGCCACCACCTGAACCACGTAGCTGCTGTTAGCCAGCAGGCTGGAGATAATGGCCCCCTAAAATGAAATCACATGGTGTGAAATCAGTCATTTCTCAGTCTCCTATGGCAGATCTCTCAACCTTCTTTGGATTCAGCCGTTCACTTTGCTCCCCTAAAAGAGTTTCTCACCAGGAGGAGACACACTTTATGTTTTGGATCACCGCTATTTTGGTAGACAAATGGCCTTTTTCCCAGCTCAATGTGCCTTGTTTCGGTTTATATTGACATTTATTACAACTATTATTTTTGTGCTTATTTTGTCATTTTTCAGCCATTTTGTAAAAATTTTATTCAAGATTTATTTCTCTTTTATGTATGTATGTATATATCCATCTATTTTCTGTCACACTTATCCCTGCTGGGGTCACGAGGGGTGCTGGTGTCTATCTCCAGCTGTCTATGGGTGAGGCGCAGGGTTCACCCTGGACAGGTCGCCAGTCAATCGCAGGGCAACACAGAGACAAACAGGACAAACATCCATTCACTCACACTCACACCAAAGGAGAATTTAGAGAAGCCAAATAACCTAACAGCCATGTTTGTGGACTGTGGGAGAAAGCCGGAGTACCCAGAGAAAACCAACGCATGCCTGGGGAGAAGATGCAAACTCCATGTTGAAAGATCCTGGGTCGGGAATCAAACCCAGAACCTTATTGCTGTAAGGCAGCAGTGCTACCCACTGCCCCACTGTGCAGCAAAATAATAAAAAAAAGGATTGAATTTTCAAATGTTTCCTGTTAAACAAAATCTGAAATGAATGCAATTTGTGAAACAATCTGAAAAAGATCTGTAAAGAAGAATAAAGTTTGAAAAAAATATATAAAAAGAACAATAAATTAGTGATTTTTTTTTTGTAGGTTTTATATCTGGATTGCATTTTTTTTTCATATTTCCATTTACACAAATAGTTTTTTTGGAACAAGATTTACCCCATAGAGGAGGTTCTTCTCTCACTGTGCTTATATCTGAGATTTTAAATGTGGGCTGATAAAATCTAACCATTCTTTTTTTTTGGGCTGATATCAGATGAAATCCCTTTGGGACATAATTACGGTTTGCAGAATCTTTCTCCTGGCTGTTTTTACTATATAGCGGATTAAAGACGTTTCTTCCCCAGAAGAGCTTTTCTTGGAAAACACTTAAAGGTAGCGCTATGGCATATTTTTTTTATTCAAGGGTAATTTCAAGTACTTCACAGGAACAACAACAAAGATAAAAGTGGTTAAGGTGACAAAAATTGAAGCAAATGAAAAACCAAGACATGATAGAAATGAAAATGTTTGTTTTTATGGTGAAATCTGCTGTAAACAGCAGCAGTTTCTGCTCAGGCTTCCAGAGCCGAGGAGCATTGAAACCAAGCTGCCTCCTGGTGTCCTGTGATCACTGAGAGAGGAGCTCTGTGAAGACATGACCTGAAGGGTCTAGATGGTGAAATATGCTTTTTAATTAGGGCTGAAACAATTAATTGGATTAAAGGTGATTAATTGATTATTATAATAATTGTCAACTAATTTAGTAATCGATTAATTGTTACCTGGAGTATAGAGACTCTAAAACATGCTTTTAGCAGAGAGAGCAACCCGCTTAGAACACTAATTATATCAAAATTGTAAAAGGAAATTAAAATGTTTTGCATTTAAAAAAATTTCTGTCAATATGCTCTATCCAGAACTCCTCAAATGAAAAGGTTTTAGCTTCCCCCTGGTTTATTTCTGTAAAAAAAAAAAATTCTTTGACGACTTTTTGCTGTCTGATTATTAATTTAATCAATTAATCAAAAAAGATTTAACAGATAAAGCAAAATAAATGTTACTTGTAGCCCTATTTTCAACCACCATCATTTTAATTTTTTTGTAAAAATGCAAATCCTTTTTAAAAAGGAATAATTACTGTTTAGCCATTTTGCTACATACCAGCAGACGGGTTTAAAAAAAAGCCATCAGTGGATCCAAACCATTTTGATCAAAGGTCCTTTTGAAAATCTTGAACAAGTTTTGTCTTATGAGGCTATAAAAGTTGTTTTTCTTTAACCTAGCTCAAATATCAGCATTATCTACATAAATATTTATTTATTTTAACAAGGTAAAAGATCCCTTTATTGCTTTCAACAAACGTTTTTTTCCCATTAGTAGGCAATCTTAAATTAATAATCATAACTATTACATGGTAGTGGCAGTATCATGCTGGGAAAAAAACATTGTCGTACACTAGAAAAGAAACTTTGTGTGAGACCAATGGTAATATACTCCTGCTGGTGATCGATTCTGATTTATTGTAAATATTCACCATTCTGGCAGTTTCTCAGGGTGGCATAAGGAAGGGGGCGCACAAGCATATAACTTATTTATTAATCAAAAACAGAACAAGGTTTCTGTTCCTTGCCTGCCTGTGTATGCACGTGAATTGGTACCCAATGCTTGCTGCTGAGAATAGTAAAATGGTAAAGTGTGTACTACTAATGCACTCTTTAGGTTCTTTGAATCTTTACAGGGTGGTTTACTACTTATTTTATCCTCCTACTTGGCGCAGGAGAGAGAAAAATGACTGTGGATTTTTTCCAATTATCCATTGATGCGTCAAATGTACCTGTGAGGCCTGGAAATAATAGTGCTAAAACATTAGCTGGAATTGCATGCGGTCATAATTGAAGCCCTCCCCCACTTTGATACAACCATTAGTCCTACCACATCTTGGTCTCCATCTGTCCTGTACTCCTGTTTGATCTGATCTCTGCCCTGCAGCCTCTCGTAGGTGACGGCATACCAGTCGATGGTGGTGTCGAAAACCGCACGGGGACGCTCCCACGTCACCACGATGGTGGTGTCGTTCTGAGCGTCGGCCTGGACGTTTTGTGGCTCTGAGCTGCACGCTGGGAAAAAAAACCACAAATGAAAAGAAATGATCTTAAACACTTGTGTGAGCAAAACATTGAGCTCTCTAAAAGTGCAAAAAACAACAGGATCAGGAAAAGCGTCCACATACAAGTAATGTGTTTGGAGGTAATTTGAGGTTAAACCAATTGAGGAAAACTAATGAATTCTGTTTAAAAGCCCAGTTTTAGAGGAACTGTGACACTGTGTGGGCACAGTACGTGCACATATGCAAGATACAAAATTAGGCTCTTATGAATTTCTGAATACTTTATTTTAATTTCAAAAAGCTGCAAAATAAATTGCCTAGTCTGAGAGGAGCCGAGCCACTGCACTGCAAAGTGATGCTTCCTGGCAGCTCTGAAGATGCTCTTTGGTTCTGACTATGAAACTGCAGAGCGTCGGGTAACTTTCTTTATATAATCAAAAAGAGACCGACCATGGGGGAACAAAGATTTAGATGCAGCAGTAGTCCATTCTACTCTAAAAATGGTAAAAAGCTTGACATACTCCTCTGTAGGCTCATAAGGGCTCATATTTATGCAACAGAATCTTAACATTCTGCTTCTATTGGGAGTTTAAATGGCTGTCAGCTAAAAGCAGTTTCATAGTTGACGCCGAGTTGCTTCTGATCTGCAAACCAATAAATCATTTAGAGGGCCAGCATGCTAACTATGTCAAGCTATTTAACCCACGATGCTCCTTAAAAGGGCATAACAGATTAAAATCATATATATTTTATGCGTTATGCTTCATGCAGCATGGAAGTTAAACAAATGGTTAGAGAAAAACTGGCATATTTATTATTGTGATATATTGTTCTTATGTGCAGAGTGCAAGAGTCTAGTTAGAGCGTCCGCCATGTTGGATGTGGCAGATCTGTACTTCATTTTTTTTTATGAGATTTCGATTTGCAAAATTGTTTTTTGAAGTTTGCAATAATAATGGATCAAAATTCACTGTAGAATATTAAGACGAGGAAGAAAACAAAGTCTGTGTTTGACGCTGTGTAATCTGAATTAACACAAGCTCCTTCTCCCCTATGGGGTCCTCTACTCTAACTGGATTAGATCTTTACTGGGACAAAAGAATCACATTGTTGTTTGGAGACGGTTTAAGGATCGGGGAATGACGTACTGGGTGTGGGAACATCCTCCTCTCCTGTGTAGGAGGCAAAGACCTGACCCATAAACTGCTGCTGCTCCCTGAAGTTGTTCTGCAGGTAATCGGTGAGCACCACGTATCCGGCCTGCTCCATGGTCATCACATCACAAAAAACCTCCAGCTGATGAGAGACACAGAAATACAGAGAAACAAAAGTCAGATTGAGGAGAGAATTAGGCAAACATGTGTCGCTGCCTGTTCCTCGTTTTCCACTCTGCTGCCAAAATGCTGAGAAAAATGGAGGCAGCTTTATTTTTGGTTAGCGTGAGTGTGGCTGTGTCATGTTTTGCCTTTCTGCTTCAATCCCATGTGGACAAAAATAATCCAAACTACAAACCAGTGTTTTCACCACATTATTCTGCATCAATGCGCAACCACTGCGCAGCCTCCTGGGAGACCTCACACATCCTGGATGCACAATTTTCTCCCCCCACCGTGACAAAATGAGGCAAAAGCAACCAAATTCCAGGCCGTTCTGTGAGGGGATGATGTCTGAAGCCATCAGATTAACATGTTGTCGTTTTAATTTAAAGACAGCTTGTCAGAAACAAGGAGCAAGTTAAAATACCACAACAATGATTTGGGTGTTTTTCAAAGGAATCGACATCAGCTAACATGAAGCGTCGGTTCAAGTTTTGGTAACTGAATTTTCTTATTTGGAACTAGAAATGAAAAACAAGTTGTTCTTGATTTATTTGGGAAAAGGACAAAACAAACTGAAACACAAGGATATTTTCTTTCTGTGTGTTTTAATACAACTGCAGCTTTGTTTTATGCAGAAACTGCCAGGTTATACTGCCCTGCTTCTGTCTTTGTATGAGTTTATGTTCTTTTTTAAATTAAAGTAAAATGTACACTTTCTCCAGAAACAGCAGAATAATAATAATAATAATAATATAATAATAATACTTTGGACTTGTAATGCAATTTATATTTAAACAAATCCCAAAGTGCTACATAGTAAAACAGGTAAGTGCTAAATAAAAATACATGGAGAGCATGAGAAATAAAAAGTAAAAGAAAGGATAAAATATTCAAAGACAATAAAAAAGGGGGAAGAGTTCAATTAAAAGCTCTCCTAAAAAGGTGGGTTTTAAGGCCACATTTAAAAGCATCCACAGTCTGTGAGAAAGTGTTCCACAGCCTGGGAGCAGCTGAAAAGAAAGCCTGATCTTCCATAGTATGAAGCTTCGTCCTTAGTGGTTTCAGCAGATATGTTGCAGTAGATCGGAGGTTACGTGTTGAGGTCTGTGGGGTGAGAAGTTCCTTAAGGTATGGTGGGGAATCACCATGGATGCAGTGGTGGGTACGGAGGGAGACCTTCTAATCAATTCTGAGTGTGACAGGAAGCCAGTGAAGTGATTTGAGGAAGGGGGTGATATGGTCATGTTTGCGCACCATCATCAGGATCTCAGCAGTGCTGTTTTACATGTATTGCAGCCTTTTAAGGCTTTTCTCAGGGATTCCGATGAGAAGCCCATTGCGATAGTCCAGCCTGGACGAGACAAAAGCGTGGCCAAGCTTTTCTGCATCTGCAGGAGTGAGTATCGGACAAGTTTGGCGATGTTTCTGAGGTGGAACAAGGAGGTCTTGCAGAGGTGTTTGATGTGAGCCTCAAAGGTCAAATGCGAGTCCATTTTAACACCAAGGTTAGTGGCAGATGTTGAAAGGGGAAGAGTTTGTCCGGAGAAGGTGATGCTGGTGATGTCAGATGACCGAACCCGGTGGGGAGAAGCGACTACAATGGCTTAAGTCTTGGAGCTGTTTAGCTGAAGGAAGTTGTGCTTCTTCTACACCTTTACCTCCTCCAGGCAGGTGGTCAAAGTTGATGATGGCAGATGAGCAGAGGATGTTGGGTTTGTCCTGAGGTAGAGCTGAGTATCATCAGCATAGTAGTGGAATGAAACTCCATGCTGGGTGATGACATGGCCAAGAGGGAGCATGTAAAGATTAAACAAGGTGGGACCGAGCACTGAGCCTTGAGGGACACCACAGGTGACGTTATGAGCCAGGGATTTAGCCTTTCCCAAGGTGACATACTCAGTTCTTCCAGCAAGTATGATGAAAACCAGTCATAGACAGACTCAGAGACTTCGATAGTGGAGCTTAAGCGATGGAGCAGGATGTTGTGATCCACAGTGTCTAATGCTGCGGTCAAGTCCAGGAGGATAAGAAGAGATGGGGAGCCAGAATCTGCTGTCATCAACAGGTCATTTGTGACCCTGACCAGGTCTGCTTCTGTGCTGTGGCCCTTGCGGAAACATGACTGAAATTTTTCAAACAGGTCATTTTGTTTTAGATGGTCCTGAAAGCTGAGCGAATACTACTTTTCTAGCACCTTTGAAAGGAACGGGAGATTGGAGATAGGCCTGTAGTTGGCAAAGACTTCTGGGTCAAGGGTGGTTTTTTCGAGAATTGGCTTGATGATAGCAGTTTTTAGTGTTGTTGGAAGCTAGCCGGAATGGAGGGATTGGTTAATGACCTTTGTGATAAGGGAACTTATGGGATGGAGATTGGATTTTACCAGGACTGTTGGGAAAGGGTCCAGGGTGCAGGTAGAAGGTTTCATCCTTTTGATGATGTCCTCAACTTCTTGCTGTGAGATGACCGAAAAACAGCAGAAAGGTTGGGAAATCCTAGGTGGTGGGTCGGCAGTCGGGGTAGGGAGCTAGGGCTCTACCTAGTTCACAGGATGGATGTAAATGAGCAGGAAGATTTTGATTATTCAATCCAATTCAATATCGTGTCAAAACCTTATTTATAATAACTTATCATGCTTTTTAAAGGTAATTTAGGAAAAATAAATGACCATTCAAACATTAATTATGAAAGTATTTAAACAAGGTTTTATGGTTTTTCCACTCATCATGATGATGAAGACCCACAAAAATGTCAAATTTCACAAAAATTCAGAATGTTATTTAAAGGTATTACTTTGTATTATATTCACTAGTTGATCAGATGCTTTTTTTGAAATAGCACTTTTTTAGCATACTTTTGTAGATTATATTTATGAGCCCTTAATAATACTGCTGCATAATATGATTTATCTGAGCCATGACTCCGTTTTCCTTATAGTACCTTTAAGCAGGTTATGGATAAAAAATATTTTCCTCATCGCTTGCCATAGAGCATATAAAGCATCCCTCCATTGTGAGTATAAACTGCTATGGTCAGCTCTGGGTTACTTATTTTTGCTGAATCCTATCTCATTTTTTTAACCCATGAATTGCCATTTTGCGCAGCAAACTTTACAATATAGGAACAAAAATCGAATCATAAAAACAGTCAGAGACCCCAGAGACTTTTGTGAGTGACTAACCTGAGCATCTGATATGGCCACGATGTGTTTAAAGACGATCCATTCCACAGATTCAGAGCAGGGAGGAGTGGTCAGCGAGCCGTTATAGATGTAGAACTTATCAGTGATGTTGGGCAGCAGGGACCTCAGGGTGAATGCCCCCACTGATCCACTTTTACCTGAAGGAAATTAGCACAGTCTCACCATTCAGCTGTATGGGCTGCTTAATGCACAGAATTACTTTTGATCATAATATAAATAATTATCCCGGACAGATATGAAACAAATGTATATATAGAAATCAAGATAATCTATTTAATGATAACATCCCTCTCTGTCAGCAAATGAAATAATCTAATTTCAAGATTTTTTTTTTTTTAATTTAACTTTATTTTAATCATTTTATTTTTTTGAATTATTTTTATAATTATTATTACCCCACTTAAATGGCTTAGAACTTCATCTTTCTTTTATATCGACTATCAAACTACCAGCAGAACATTAAATCTGCTCCTTTTGATCGAATGGGAAAAGATTTGTGCACCAATCTTTATAGATCACCGACAACACCCTCACTTATTCAACGTATTTAAAAAAAATTGCATGTGCAATTCAGTGTCTTTTATTAGGAATTTTTAGAAATCAGACCCTCAGTGTAATAATCTACATCTTGCTAAAAGCCCCAAATAATAATGGACCTCAGAAAATGCTGTTCCCTATCCGAGCTCAGTCTGTTGTCTACTTTATGGTAGTTAAAAAAGTGTTGCGCCGATGCCATTTTTTGGCCCCGATACCTGATAACTGACTGTGCAGTATTGGTCGATACCGATACCATCTGTTCTAAATTGATGTTTGTGTATATATGAAGAACTGCATACTACTTGGATGTAAAATAATTGCCATCATGGCTTTGTCAAGCTGCTGCCTATGTTTGTAAAGCAGGAAAAAGACGAATAAAAAGTGAATCCAGTAGAACCTTTTATTGCCTACCTACGATACGGGTATCAGTATCAGTGCAACACTAGTTAAAAGCAGCATGTAACTGTAAGGAAGTGGTCTATAGGACATATAGGTGGTATGAGAGTTTTGGGAATCAAGACCTTAGAGCTTGAGTGCAAGTCAATTCTGAAATTTGTGTTTTTTGGCGGCTTAGTTTCTAAACTCAATCCTCAATTATTATTTTCCACTATATCGCTTGTAAGAAGCTCAGTTAGAGTTCCCATGCAGTAACCTACCAAATCTGCTCACACCACTGATGGCTTCTACAATAGGACTGAAGTTCTCATTGTCCTCCTGGCTTACCTGCAAATGAAAGGAAAATTGTACAGATGCCGTATTTAAAGCCAAACATAGGTAAAGATGGTTCCGTGGTCAGGTCGTCTCACCTCAAAGAGAACAGCCAAGGCAGCAACTCTTCCTCCTTTCTCAATTGCATCATCTAAACTTTGAAACTCATTGGGATTGTAGCAGTAGATCTGCATCTGAGAAACAGCCAGGATAAATGTCATTTTCGCTTTATGTTAGGAAAAAGGATAGATAGCACAGTGGTGACACTTACTTCCAGAGGATATTTCATCCCGTTGAGGCTGTGTTCAGACCCAGCTGATGATGCATTGCAGCGACCCCAATGGAAGCTAAGCCTCGATACAAGAAAGCTGGAGCTCAGGCCTCCTCCAGTTACATAGAAGTCTTCATTTATATTGATGGACACTTAGATATGTAAAAAAAAAAATAGAAACAGTGAAACATTAGAAAGGAATGAACTCTTTCTTTATCTGCACCCTTGATTGTTTGATTAAAGAACACAGCATTTGTCATGAAAAGCTTAGACCTAAATGGTCTATGAAACTAACTAGCAAGACGCTAAATCAAAGTCATATTGTTCAATGCATTGAGCCCCATATGAATTAAAAATTCATCAAAAAGGGCACACATGTAATGCATAATCATAACATTGGCGTGCTCAGACTTTTTGAGGGCAGGAGCAGAAAGAAAAAGAGGGACTTTTTCATTTAGACAGAAAACAGATAAGCAACATAACACATTGAGGAATGTTCCAGTCAACACACAACACTCCCCTCTTTCAAAGACACTTCCTCGCTTGGTATACAACAAATAGCCTAAACTTACAACACAGCCCTGTTTAAACCCCCCCATCTAAATGTTTTCAAGTTTGAAGACGTTTTGCTTCCCATCCAGGAAGCTTTTTCTATTCAAAATGTCAGGAATAACGTTGAGTTTGAGGTTTTATGAAAGGGTCCACCCCTTTGGAGTGGGGGTCATTTGGCTTCTCTTGTTAGCCTGCAAAGCGCCATACCCATCTAAAAGTCTGAAAGGGGGGTCGTTAAAGGGAATTGTTGGCCTTGCTGAATAGAGGTCCTCTGCTCTCCTGTATAGGGGCTGCAATGATAGCAGGAAGGTATTAACTCAATTGCAGCATTGTAGGTTTTTGAAAACTGGAATCTGAGTCCACCCCTTTTGTTTGTGATTATTTTTTCTTTCTTCACATAGATGGCTTCCTTCACGCCCCTCTCAAACCATCTATTTGTCCAAAATGTGAACATTCTGGCCCTCAAAAGAATTTCCTTTGTCCATAAGGTGTAGATGTACCGCCGAGTCTTGTCCCGACTTGACTTGTACTTATGACTTGTACTTATTGTACTTCTGAGCCGTTTCTAATCGTTAACATACATTGCCCACAGAGACAGTGCAAGTATTGGAGAGATGGAGAGGATGGTGTAGCTCAGACAGCTTTCATCTGTTTTTCAATTCAGCCATCACCTCACATCTCTTCACATTGTCATCGCTCCACACTCGGTTTGCCCCTCACCACTGATATTTTCTGTTTCACTACAAGATCTCCCAGTTTTTGCCGCCTCCCTCTTTGATCTTCCCTCAGTTGCATAGTCTCTTTCTTTTCTGTGTCTTTGTCTCTTTCCTTACAGCTCAGACTGTCATTAACCTGGGAGTTCATTGTTATAATGAATAATTTTTCCTCTCTTTATTGGAGGGTGAGGGGCTATAAAACTTAATCTCTCCACAGTATGGGATTACCAAGCCCTGCTTTACAGAACCATCGTCAAAATACTCCTGTAGGAACTGTTTTTATGCTCCTACAGAAAAAAAGATTCCTCTAAAAGCAAAGTTTAGTTTGGGATTTCCAAGCATATGAAAATAGACCAATTTAAAATACCCGTCTTCCCGTTGTTCTGGATGGTTGTAGACTCTGATGTCGGTATGTGCCAGCCCTCTAGCTGTAGGTTCTGGAACTGCATCCTGACTTGGGTAAACATCTCATTGATGTCCACGGGAGACTGCCGGGCACCATTACAGGACGGGTAACTCTTCCCCCAGATCTGCTGGTTCAGGCTACCTGTAAATAAAAACATTTGACAGTTTAGCGATACAGTTAAGGCGAGATTTATTCAGAAGGAAATCTGTACCAATTTTCCAAATGAAATTGAAGAATAGAATGCTCTTCAATTTCAAAATAAAGCTGCATTTTTTTACTTATACATTAAATAAAAAAAAGGAAATCTTTTTGAAGATTGTTAAATATGTAAATTTATTAAAAAAATACATGAAATAACATTGTACATTTAATTTTTAAAATGTGTCCCACCAAGTAGTGACCAAAAATCAACCTGAAATGTCAAACTTGAAAATTAAAATGTATTAAAATAAATGCTTTTGAGAGCACTTGTGGTCTTATTAAATTACATTGATATTACCAAACTTGACTATGATCTGGATGACTGAGAATATTCAGCATTGTCCAAACTGCATGTTCATTTATTTTTTTCAAGATTCCTTATGTTGTTTCTTAATTAAAATGGTTTTATTTAACACTAAAATTTAAAAAGGTATTCTAAAAAAAAAGTTCCCAAAATTAATTTCGAGATCTCAGATTTATTCTTTCAAATTCCCTGGCAGAGATACCTTTTCATTTTAAAGTTAAAGCTGCATTTTTAGACTTAATCACCAATTGAGCAATAGATAACACAATCTGGATTTTCATTTTCTTCTCCAAGACTGCTAAATTTGTTACTTAAATTAAACAATTCGTAAAATAATATCAAACATTTTATTTTGAAATGATGTCCCATTACTTTAAATGAAAATATTTAAGGTAATCTTTTATTTTTATGGGCTGTTTTTTCTGAAAGGAAGTAGTATTAACATATCGCATAGCAGCTAAGTGTAAAAAAAAAAAAGAAATGATATCAAGAAGGCTTTTTTAGATCTACGCCAAATATAAAATGATCTAAATTCAATCAAAATCATGACACAAGTGAAAGAAAGCTTTGAATGCTGTAACACTGATACAGATAAAGAGAGACATTTAGTTTTTATACTGAAACTCCCTTAACTTTGTTTTATTATCTTTTAAAAGATGTTAGAAACAAATCTGCCTTAGAAACAAACTATTTTATATATTATATGAAACATTTTTATTTTCTCCTGAGGTTCTATCATGGATAAAATACACAGTTTATTAAAATGTTTTATTTAATGTGTATGTACAAGTCAGTCCTGCTTGCTATATATGCACTGTGTGTTTCCAAACATGGTGAGCCTGGCTGCTTTAACTTGTTTTTGCCCCAAAGTGGACGTGTTTTATACATTTACTGTCTGGTTCATGACATTGCAGCCAAATTGCTACGCAGGTCCAACCAAAATCAAGCAGGAGCCCGGCTCGGTCGGAGCTACGCAGCACAGTTGCAGAGGATCATGTCCGGTCTAACCTGGCCTTTATAAATAAGCTGTAACTGCAAACACCTCATACAATATGATTTTCCATCAGATCTAAATTTAAATTGTGTCCAGTGTGTTCAGCCTTATGCTACGTTAACACCTAAAGCAGCTGAAGCAACACCTCATGAGCTTCTAAAGTATTGGACGCGCACAAATGCTTCAGAAGCAGCAGCTGCTGTAGTTGGAAAAATTTAACTTTTGCTGCTCTACATGCCCCATCAATCAATCAGAGAAGCTGATCTGGGAGCTGGCAGGGAGACGGACACAGCACTACTGATGCAGATCGCTATGATCACTCCTCTGACACAGTTCATTAATGCCTAAATTAACTTAAAATGCCGAAATCTGCTGGCAAAATATGTTAAATTCTATTCTGGTGTCTGCAGCTTGGATTACGTACCTTGAAAACACTAACATCTACTTCCAGCTGCCACCAACAGTAAGGAAAAACCCAGAGAGGCGACCGGGCCAGAGGCTGCTGTCGAATGGGATTTCCAGTGACAGAGCACCGCCGGTGTATGGGGGTCTGAGCGGCTTCGACAGCAAAAAAAACATTTGAAGGCAGGATATAATCTGGATTAAATGACTGCAATGATGATGTTTTCAGGTCGACTTTCTCACTTAAACACATATTTAAAATACTTTTTACCAACTGATGGCAGAAAATATAGCTGCCACTGGTACAGGCAAAGAAAGGATAGCGTAGCTCTGCCAAACGAGCATCAGACCCATTTTTCGACCGCGCAACCAGAGCAGCAAAGATGCTTCAGCTGAATGTCAGAACTAAACTTGTACAAGCATCAAAAATGAAGCAGCAGGTGCATTTTTGCTGCTCCTGCTGCTTGCGGTGTTAACGTAGCATTAGGCGTTTAGGATCCAACATAACAAGAAAAGAAGCAATCAGAAAAACTGAACTGCCGATCACAGAGGGCACAAAACAAGATTTTTGCAAAAAATATTCTACGGACAAAACAGAAGTAGAACTTTTTATATTCTTAGCTTTAAATATGGGGTTTGGTTCTGCAGAGGAATAAGGGTGGCCATCATTAGCTCCTGTAGACAACATGCTGCAGCTTCCATATCTACCTTAAGGAGGCTTTAGTGGAAAGCTGGAGAAGTCGTTTCAGCCAATGTAAATAATAAATAGAAGGCCCCTATCTTCTCTATTGCATCAGGAGACTTTCTTGTGATGGCATCCCTCATTCAGACATAAACAAGCAGTTCTCTGTTTGGTTGCTGTTGCCAGCTCTAGTTAAAAAACTCCAATGTGTCCAAGCTTGAATTAGAAAAATTTGGGTCTTTCCAACTTTATGATCTCACCCACATGGCTGGATCAGTTCGGCTTACAGCAAAGTTGTGCAGAAATCAGTCCAAGGTCGACGAGCCGCTCAGTGCAGCGGCAGGGGAATATTCTTTCAGAACATTTTTATTCTTTCAAGCTTATGAGCAAATTAGCTTTTGGCGGAATTATCTTCAACTTGTTTGTCTTTGTTTTTTAAGATGCTGCTGCATGAATTCTGCTTGAAGTCATCCAAGCAATGTTGGTGTGAGTTTTTTTTTCTTTTTCACATGAATTATGTAAGAGAAGACAAACATAACTCAAAGCAAAACTACCAGCACCAAAACATCCAGTCGGGTTGCCATATCATTAAAGACGAAGCCAGCATTCAAGCTACATTAAAAAAAAGGAACCTTAGGCAAAATGTCACTCGAAAAAAACACCTTGTAAATAAAATATGAGCACATGTCAATAGTGTAGACTCTTGGCTGAAACTCCTGACAGGGTTTGTCTGGGAATATGTGTGAATTTATTCATGAGTTGATGCGTTATCTGCAGCTACATTCGATCAAATGACTGTCTGCTGGATACATACAGTGTCATTGATTACATCTCCAGACTTGTGCACGTGGGGTAGACACAGCTCCAAGGTGTTTACTGCAAGTTCTGTTTATGCTCGTATTTTTTATTCCTCTTAGTTTCTTCACTTGGGGTTTTCCATACTTATGGAGTTAATTTTGTTCCATTATTTGGTTCGAGGACAGGATACATTTCGTTATTGGAAACTCAAAAAAAAAAATAAAATTTATAATAATTTAACCAGAAATTAAACTTTTCTCATATTCTTCATCTCCCATTTATTCTGGACGGGGTCATGGGGCCAGCAGTCTACCAGGCCTACCAAAAGACATAGTCCCTCTGGCATGTCCTGGGTCGTCTCCCGGTGGGACGTGCTTGGAACATCTCCCGAGATAATTGTAATTTTTCAGTATTATTGAACTGATTTTAATTTTTTTTTCTAATTTAAATTTTTTAAGTTTTCATTTTTTAGTTTTAGCAGCTACTTCACAAAATGTCCATAAAAGTATGGAGTGAATTTTATTGCAGAAAAATAAGAATTTTGTAAATTGAAATTTGAAAATAACAAATGCAATATAGGAATAAAGCTAAAAGGTTTCTCTGATTTTGTTGCATTTTCAAATTTTATTCTTTTAAACTACATTTTTCTCATGCCCATTTTTCTTTTTTCTTTTTCATGTTTCATCAATAGCATCCTTTTCAGGTTGGGTTTTCCAAATTCGATTCTCTTCACTGTGGGATGGGCTTTCCTCTTGAATAGGGAAACAAGACGCATCTCTGTTTGTCTCTATGGACCTTAACAACTACATCTTTGTTGGTCATGAGCAACTGTTTGTGTGTGCTACTTGAAAAGAATGCCATTTAATTAAAAAAATTATGCTAAAAAAAATATGAAATTAAGTTTAAATACATAGATTATGAAAACAATCAAACATAAAATCTAAAAAAAAATAGTAAACTCTCAAAACATTTTGTGATTAAGAAGATTTTCTGGATTTTTTAATTTCTGGACTTCCTGTTCTTCTCACTTAAATTTCAAACATGTTCATTGCTTGAAACAATAATGGAACAAAATTCACTCCATACATATCAATTTAAAGGAGCTGAGAAATGTCTGCATGCAACCCTTCAGTCTGCTGCAGCTCCAGCTGTATGCATCATGGCGTTAGATTAGTTCCTACAGCGTCTAATAGCTGTGTTAAAGGCAAAGAGCCCAATCACAGAGAGAGAGCAATATTAGTGTATAGAACAGCTCACAGCTATGGCTCTGTGCTGTAATATGAGTAGGAATCAGATTTCTGAGAGCAATTATTAGCTTTTCTCCTCTTTATTTTTTTATCGCACAGGATTAAATCAAACCCCGAACTCATCTATGTTCACCCAGTTTTTCTGTTACAGATAAAGACGTGCAGAAATCCAGCTGCAACAAAAGATTCCCACGTGTTCGTCTCTGCTTCTGCTCTGTGGAAAACAAACAAATGCAAGTGGTGCACATGTGCTGCTGCGCATGAGGGGAAAATGTCAGGAGGGTGTCAGCGGTCAATAGCCACATCTCACCCCTGCAGCTTTATCTGTTCACCTCATCTCTCTCACACATGCACCGAAACATCCGCACACACTGAGTGACTTAGCTGACATAATGCTGCCATGGCAACAAGTAGCTGACAGTTTAGAGAGAGGAATGAAAGGAAAAAAATAAACCCTAAAGCCAGACTTGGATGTCACCGACTGCTGCACTCGTTTCAAACCCCGCTGCCTCG